AGATAAATCAAAATATTGGATTTTAATTTGTTTAAAAAAATATTAAAGTGATCAAAATAAAAAATGAAACTATTAAAAAAAATACATGATTTGGCAATAATGTTTTTGTTATACTAATGGTATTTTGTAATTGATATTTATAAAATAATTCCTTCAGGATATAAAGATGACTAAAGTAGGCTATATCTTTTCTAACAAAACCATTTCATAGACTAACGTATTTAAAAGAATTATATATGTCTAGCTTGTTAGACTTTCGTACTTGGGAATAGCTTTGATTAAAAGTTATCTCAAAAGCTATAAAATTCTTCATAGAAAGCTATAAATAATTCTACATTACACACAATCAGTTCTTGCTTTTTAACTTGATGCTAAATTAACATCTTATTTTTCGTTTTGATTCTGGCCTATATATAAATAGTTTTTTAAAGGCTAAAATAATGCAATGGTTGATTGTTTTAGAATTGATGGAAACTTGGCAAGTGCAATGGATGTAACAAACATAGAGTAACAATAGTTCAAAATCACAATTATTTGAGCTCTATCTTTTAATGAGTGAACAAGTTATAATTGCCCCAGCTGAAGTAAAAAACTAGTTAGGACATGAATTCATTTATAAAATAATTCAAAGTGTGAATTGCAGATCAAATTCACTACTAGTAGCTAGTAGTAGTCTTAGTTCCTTGGCAAAGTCACCCTATTTCTTAATTAAGAACTTAAAACCCTTAAGCTTTCTTAATTAGATAAAGCATTGGCATCAACAGTTACATGATAGCATAATTTACTATCTCTATTCCTAAAGCCTCACTAACTATGTTGCTTAGTCCTTTTTCAATTATTAAGTCAATATTCCAAGCATGACTAGAGATCTACATCATCGAGTTATGAAAAAAATGAAGAACAAAGAAAACAAGGAATATAACATAAAAACTTGAATTTAATTCCAAAAGACAAGATTATATTGAGGTTTTTTTTTTTCTCGATTCAGAAGATTATATTGAGATAGGTGCTTTTCATGTAACTTTCAAACTATATAATTGGAATATTTATATGCAACAATTATACTTTTGTTAATATTTACTAAATAAATAATCATGTATACAAATTGTTGACTTGTCATTGGCGTTTATATTAGGTTATTTAGAGCTCTGTCTTCTGGATTGGGCCATTCTTTCGCCACTTGAATTCACATCCCATTCGTTCTTTCTTAAAGAGACATGAACTTATCATATCCCAAAGTTTTCATATTATTATATTTTAAAATATAAATGTAGGAAAAGTGAGCAAGAAAATAGACGACCTTTAATGAATAAATAAATAAATAAAAGAGCAAGAAAATTCCATGGCTAATTTTATATATGATAAGATGATAAACCCAGAGAATAATTGATAAACTCCCCGTAAAAATGAATGAATAAAAAAATTGAAGATGATATCTAATAGGGATAGAATTCAGAAGTGACAACCACAACAAAGATAGAATGCACAAATTGTGGAGACAAGGACAACACCCTCTACCACCGAGACTATCTTAAAAACGACGGTGTCCATGATGGTCGTCGTGTGTAGATGAAGGCGTTTCCAATGAAACGACGAGAACCTCCTTGGCCACAACTCCTTGCTCAACTTCTTAAACGACCACCTACCAGGCTTCTTCTCCATCATAAATACTGAAACAATCTCAAATATTGAAAAACTCTAATTTTCTTTGGTTTGGTGTCGTTTATGGTTTGTTTAGTGGGATATGCTCATAGAGAAAAGGAGTGAGAAGTGCTTTTTATATGTGTATAAAGGAAGGCTTTGGATGCTTGAACGACAAGAGTGTTTGCTGGCTCTGGTTGTTTCTTGCTGGCCTAAGATTACACGTAAAATTGCACTTTAGTTCTGGACTGGTCCTCCTCAAGATTCGTCAATGATAATGATATACTCACACACTTTTTAAATACTATAAATTTTAATTAAAAAATATCATTTATTGATTTCTTATCATGTATTCTCACTTACACATTAAGAAAAATGATATTCAAATTCTGTAATGTTATTCATGTGTATTATTCTACTTCTTTTTTAACTAAATTTAATTGTGTACTATTATATCAACTCCTTTGCATGTAATTACTGTTTTAATTGTAATAAATGAGTTTAATCAAACCTTATCAATGTCTACACGGATTTAAATTTTAAACCCACCAAAAAGCTTTAATTCGGAAAGGTAGCTTTAGTATCTGAACAAAGGTGTTAACAACTTTAGGATAAAATGAAAAAAGAACTAATTCACATTTGATATGTTATTTTATAATTATATGCAAAAAATATATAAAATCAAATAAGGAAAATGTTACATATTTTAATGATAGTTTGACAGGGTGTTCGTTTCGTTTGGTAATAATTTTTTTAAGAAGTAATTATATTTTTTGAATTCTTTTAATAAATTATTAAAAAATATTATTTTTAAAATAAATAAAAATAAACAAACATGCACTAAAAAATTGTTATTGTAGACTTTAAAGATTTATATTAGTAATATAATAAATTATTATAATAACAAATATTTTTATATATTAATATATACTATATCAAGTGTTAGTATGTATGATATGTAATTTGTTCGTAAGAATCTCTAAAGTTGATACATACAATTCTTTTATTAGACAAAATTATACTAACAAAAATTATCTTAAATTTGATAATTTTTTATATTAGTAAACACAATTTTTTATACGTACAGACAATGTATTTAAAAAGAAAAAAGAAGAAGAAGAATTTATTGCTTAAACAAACGTACATCATTCTTCTAGGGTACTTTAGTATCTTGAAAAGATAAAGGAATTCACACTATAAATACCATCTTATAAGCAAAATGCTATAAATTCCAATGATCCATCGTCCAATTTAAAAGGGTGTTTGGAAATAAAATCATATTTTAAAAATTACTATTAAAAAAATCACAGAAAACTATTAGATTATAAAAAAATATAATATTTTTTAAAAATAAATTAACTAAATTAAACCTGCACTTATTGATTAATCGATTAAACAAGATTGGTAATTTGAAGATCTTATTCTATATATCCATCAGAGAATAAAAGAAAAATATTATTACATTGATCCCATATTTAACTACGCAGCTTGTCCTCCAAAACCAAAGCTTATTAAAATAGTGTGACAGTGGGAAGAGGCATCTTTTGTAACACCACATGAAGCCTGCCCTATGTGCATTTCTTTTAATCTAAGTTCACATGAAAGAGCCATGTGGCTAGTTTTCTCATGTTCGTTTCACTTTCATTTTCTTTTCAGATTCTTTTCTCTTTCTTTTCACTGAGATCAAACCCTAATCAAATATTGCGTATAAGCTGGATTTTAGTCATTTTTCACCAATAAAGAAAGAAAAAGAGGGGTGGGTATATATTCCCTTCAATTGCCCACACCTAACCTTTACCACTAAATGATCAAAATATGTTATAACTCACTCAAAAGTTTATACCCTCAGATCATAAATAATTATATATCTTATGTCCTCTTATTCTTATTCATGTAGCATATTTTAATACACCCCACACTACAGAGCTCTGTGGCTGCTAAATAGAACTGAATAAATTTTGATATCATATTAAGAAATTTAAATTTAACTCACTTCTAAAAATTAGTTCATAAAAAATAACTACATAAATTTTTATAAGAAATATTTTGTTTATATTTCTAGTCAATGTGAGATATATTTATTTTATTCAATTTTATTTCGTAATGAATTTATTCAGTTGTGTTTTTTACTAAAAAAAGATAAAAGATAAATGTGTGGGTTAATCTGTAAGTATAGAATTACACACACATAGAAGAAGGCATTTTTCATGAGAGTACCAAAAATAAATATTGACTAGTAATTATTTTAAAATTATACTGATTTTTATACTTGTGTAGATTTTAGTTTTAAAAATAACCCATATCATCAAAAAGTGATTGCTTAGTTTGCCACATCATTAATAATAATAGTAAAGTTTAAAAATAAAATTTAGAAAAAATATAAAGACCAAAAGTAAATAAAATTATAGTTAAAAAGCTAAAAATATATTTAAAACAAATTTTTAAGACATAATAAATGTATTCTATTTAGTTAATTGAGACAAAAAATTAATATAATGTACCAATAATATTTTAATTTAATAAATAATAATTTAATCAAATGTAATATTTTAAAAATTATTGATGCAAATAAACACATAATCACTGCTTTCTTTTAAAGAAATGTGTGTATTTGAGATCACTTAATTGAACTAATAATAGGTGCAATATATGGTGAATATTTCTGGTTCAAAAGACAACCTTGTGCAAAAGGGATCAAAATATTTAAGGCAAAGATGACAAGACATAAAGTTTAGTTGATGGTTGAGTTACCACTTGTGCATGGATCTTCACCTGTCACAAACTTTCCAATCAAATGCACACAAAGAAGCACACACATATATAGAAAGAAACAGACATTATTTAGCCATTCTATTCACCATTATATGCTTCATGGTGAATGCTGACGAGGTTATGCCTTGTTACTTTTCATTTTTCACATATATACTTCAAATATTCAAATTCTACACTGCAAGAAGAATATTTTCTAACCAGAAAATTAACTTAATTTAATAGTTAATTTTAATTAAGAATAAGTTTTAATAAAATTGAATAATTTAATTATGTTTATAAATATTTTTTAAAATAATAAAATTTTAGTAAATAAATACTCAATGTCAAAACTACATATTACATGAAATAATTCTTATCAGTTGACAACGTGAGATTACGTTAATTTGAAGTTATTGACAAATTATATTTAATATAAAATAATTAAATATTTAACACAAATTTCACTTCTATAACAAACACACATGAGAACCCATCTCTCTCTCTATCTTTCCTTAAAAGTCTACACGTGTGAATCTCATGGCCCACCATTTTCTGCCACGTGGCTCTCTCACCTTTGCCATCTCCTTCTCTTCCCCCACTTCCTCTGTTCCCACCATCTCTCTGTTACACACACACACACTTCACATCCATTCTCGTAATTCTCAAAAACACAACCCAAAAACGCTATCTTTCAACCCTTCTTCATCAATCCCAACACACCCTTTTCCTCATGCAACATCAAACATAAAAACAACAAACCAAACTCACTCACTACACATAAAAACACAACAACATTAGTTCTCATTTTCCTTAATATTCTGGAAACCTTGTTGCACTTGATTAAGCACTAATGTAATATTGTCATTTCAAGCAACAACACTATATTATTTAAAGCACGTACAAAAGAAAAAAAATTGTTTTTCTTTACTTTGATTTTTACTTTTTTGAGAAAATCAGTGAGAATATAGTGATGGCTGGGAATGAATGGATTAATGGGTATCTGGAGGCTATACTCTCAACTGGGGCATCAACCATTGAAGAGAATAAGCCTGCACCTGTGACTCTAAAAGATGGAGGGCATTTCAATCCTACAAAGTACTTTGTTGAAGAGGTGGTGACAAGTGTTGATGAGTCTGATTTATATCGCACATGGATCAAGGTGGTTGCCACAAGGAACACAAGGGAGAGAAGTTCAAGGTTGGAGAACATGTGCTGGAGAATTTGGCATCTTGCTCGCAAGAAGAAACAGGTTCATATGATTTGTTTTTTATCCTTTTCTTTTTGTTTGGAATTGTTACCGAATGGAAAGAATTGGATTGAAATTAGATGTGATTTGTGAGTTTATTGAATTCTAAGGTTGATGTAATTTTGAAGATGTTTCATGCAGGAATTCATTTGTGAATCGAACGATGTCTTTTGTTTTTGAGATTCTAAATTTATTGAATGGCATGATTGAATCAATGGCAATATCAAATTAAGGGTGTGTTTGGATTAGCATCAAATCCACTCAACATGTTCTATTTCAACGCTACAAATTATAGATTTCTCGTTGCAACGTATTTTATTGTGGTTTAAGTGAGTTAAATGCATGATATTGTCCAAGTAGGAAAATTGCTTGTGTTTTTTCTTGATTGATATTTTGATATTCTTAGCGGATTTTTTTATTTTAAATTTATACTGAATTTTTTAATCTCTGTGATTTGGAAGATTTTTTTTTTCTTTATTTGAAGGAGGCATTGATGTGACTGAAGGTAGGATAACTTGTTATTCTTATTTACATCAGAGATTCAAGTAATTTTTATTGAACGTACACAATTTAGTCATAAATATGTATCTGTATGTGCACTGTACATTAACTTGACCTTGTCCTTTGGTTCGGAGATTCAATCCAATTTATTTATCTTAGCAATGCCACATTTAAGAACAATTAACAATGATTATTATTTTTGTTTCCAGTTTAAGATAGAGAAGGAAGTTTTTTTGCTAATTAGTTTAAATTGTTTGTGTTAAGTGTTGAATTCACTATTCATGGTCCTTTATCTAACAAATTTGTGGTAACTACCATTCACTTGTGAGTTGATATATGCAAGACTACAATAGGCAATTCTTGTGTGGTTTGTGTAGTTGGAATGGGAGGAAGTCCAGAGGGTGACAAGCCGAAGATGGGAGAGAGAACTAGGACGTAGAGATGTAACGGAGGACATGTCTGAAGATTTGTCAGAAGGAGAAAAGGGTGATAGTATTGGAGAGATAGTGCATACCCCAACGAAAAAATTCCATCGTCAAACTTCGAATTTGGAAGTATGGTCAGATGACAAAAAAGAAAAGAAGCTTTATATTGTTCTGTTAAGGTATACTATCCACACTCCCAAAGTTATTTTGAAATGATAATTTTGCTATTAAATTGTCTAGACAAATTTCCTAGTCTATGACAGTATGTCAAGGAATACCTAATAATCATAGTAGCAAATAGATTCATATTTATTCCTTTGTCAATGATCAGCAAAATTATTAGCTTTGCTTTAGATGCATTTTACTTTTTAATTTGGATGATAGGTATCGGAATCACTAAACCAGCTATCTGAGACAATCATAATGGCACTTTTTTGTTCTTAAAATTTTTTCTTGGTTTCTCATAGTGGAAAATGTTCTTGGTATTGTGGTGGCTGTCTAAGGATCAAACTTATTAATAAATATAATGAAACTGAAAATGGAATTGTATTGCCAAGCATTTACTATCAATAAATTAGAAAGTAGAAACCACATGTTTCATATGAAATTTTAATCATTTATTTATTTTTTAAAGTAGCTTCATTTTTTCATCTCTATTGCTGTGAAACGCTTCAAGAAATAAATTCTAGAGACATGTAATTAATGTAACAACTTTTACAACCTTTTACTTCCCATAGTTTGCATGGATTGGTTCGAGGAGAAAACATGGAGCTTGGTCGAGATTCTGATACCGGTGGACAGGTTCATGACATTTTCACGCACAATCACAAATTTACAATATATTATCTTTTGTCCTTCCACTTGAATGGAGATAATGCTTGAACAAATATATTTCCAGATTAAATATGTGGTAGAACTTGCTCGTGCACTTGCAAAAATGCCTGGAGTATACAGAGTAGATTTGTTTACACGCCAAATCTCATCACCTGATGTTGATTGGAGCTATGGAGAACCTACTGAAATGCTAACAACAGGTGCAGATGATGATGATGATAATGTTGGGGAGAGCAGTGGTGCATATATAATAAGAATACCTTTTGGTCCACGAGATAAATACCTCCGAAAAGAACTTCTTTGGCCCTATATTCAAGAATTTGTAGATGGAGCATTAGCTCACATTCTCAATATGTCAAAAGTATTGGGTGAACAAGTTGGTGCAGGCCAACCTGTCTGGCCATACGTAATTCATGGACATTATGCTGATGCTGGAGATTGTGCTGCTATTCTTTCAGGGGCTTTAAATGTACCAATGGTGTTGACAGGTCATTCACTTGGAAGAAATAAGCTTGAACAACTTCTTAAGCAGGGACGCCAATCGAAGGAGGATATTAATTCAACATATAAGATGATGAGGAGAATAGAAGCAGAAGAACTCTCTCTGGATGCTGCAGAACTTGTTATAACTAGTACAAGACAAGAAATTGAGGAGCAGTGGGGACTTTATGATGGATTTGATGTCAAGCTGGAGAAAGTACTGCGTGCTCGAACTAGACGTGGTGTCAATTGTCATGGCCGATTCATGCCAAGGATGGCGGTAATATGTTAACTGATACCACTTAAAAATTTGAAGAGTGAATTCTTCAAATCAAAGTTATAATATTTTTCGCCACTCAACTCAACTACAAATCATCTGCCAAATGCCAACTAATCTTGTACTTTAAAAGTTAAAACTTCTGCAAAACTTCCTTTAGAAATGGAACTACCTCTAAAGTTCTAACTTCATACCAAATGAATACGTTGGTTACTTTTTTTGTTCTTTTTCTATGCTAATTGCATCACCTAAATAGACTATTTTTTTTAATGAAATTCTTCAGGTTATCACTCCTGGCATGGACTTTAGCAATGTTGTGATCCAGGAAGATGGCTCTGATGTTGATGGAGAGAGTAGTCAGCTTACTACTAGTGCTGAAGGTTCTTCGCCAAAAGCAATGCCTTCAATTTGGTCAGAAGTGAGTAACTGATATGCTTACAAATATTGCTCATAAATTACAGTTGATGGCTTCCAACTAACAATTTTGTGTAGGTAATGCGTTTCTTTGAAAATCCCCACAAGCCTGTGATCCTGGCCTTATCAAGGCCAGATCCAAAGAAAAACTTAACCACTCTTTTAAAAGCCTTTGGAGAAAGCCGTCCTTTAAGAAAACTTGCTAATCTTGTAAGTTAACATAATTCAGTTTTCCTCTCAATGGAAACTGTTTTTAAGTACTTGCAGAAGGACTAACATGTTTTCAAACAGGTTCTCATAATGGGAAATAGGGATGACATAGATGAAATGTCTTCTGGGAATGCTAGTGTGCTCACAACAGTGTTGAAATTGATTGATAAGTATGACCTATATGGGCAAGTGGCATACCCTAAACATCACAAGCAATCTGATGTTCCAGAGATATACCGATTTGCTGCAAAAACAAAGGTATGATGACGTTTAGTGGTTTACTATTTACATAGAAATAAATTCCTGTATTTTAACAGTTATGAACAGCTAATAACTTAAAATTTCTCTCAGGGTGTTTTCATAAATCCTGCTTTAGTGGAACCTTTTGGTCTTACTTTAATTGAGGTAGGATTAACTAACTAGCTATTTTGGTGATACTGTTCTCATTTAATGTTACATAATCCTTTTTTTCTCTTAACATATTCAAACTCATGTAGGCATCAGCACATGGGCTTCCCATGGTAGCCACTAAAAATGGTGGACCAGTGGACATTCATCGGGTAAATGAATTTAATATTAGTTACATGGAACCTTCCTTCTACTTTCAGTGTGAACTATTTTCTTAGATAGATTTGGAAAACATACAATTAACATTTATATGCAACAATATCTTGTCACACTGGTGGTTGTAGACTCCAAATTTTCTTTTACATGTTATGACAGGATCCTTTGGATGTGTAATGACCTTGTAGCCTCTTATTATGTCTCCTTTTGTTATGTCAGGCACTAAACAATGGTTTGCTTGTGGACCCTCATGATCAGCAAGCAATTACTAATGCATTGATCAAGTTGTTATCCGATAAGAACATGTGGCATGACTGCAGAAAAAATGGTTGGAAGAACATACACCTTTTCTCATGGCCTGAACACTGTCGTACTTATTTGACTAGGGTGGCAGCATGTAGGATGAGGCATCCACAATGGCAAACTAGTACTCCAGGGGATAGTATAACTGTTGAAGAGTCTTTCAATGATTCACTTAAGGATGTGCAGGACATGTCCCTTAGGCTCTCAATTGATGGTGACTTAGCTGGAGCAAGTGTTGGCACTGACATGCAAGACCAAGTGAAGCGTGTCCTAAGCAAGATCAAAAAGCCAGATTCTAGTGGTCCAAATGACAATGATGGTGGGAATAAGTTGCTTGACAATGTACCTGGAAAGTATCCGCTATTGAGGAGAAGACGTTGGTTGATTGTTATAGCACTAGATTTATATGGCAACAATGGAGCTCCTGAAAAGAATATGACCAAGATAGTGCAAAAGATCATTAAAGCTGTTCAGATAGACCCTCAAACTGCAATAGTTTCAGGATTTGCTTTGTCCACGGCTATGCCATTTCAAGAAACTGTAGAGTTCCTTAAATCAGGCAAAATTCAAGTAAATGATTTTGATGTTTTAATTTGTAGTAGTGGAAGTGAAGTTTACTATCCTGGTACTTTCACAGAAGATGGAAAGTGTTCACCTGATCCAGATTATGCAGCTCATATTGACTATCGTTGGGGTTGTGAAGGTCTAAAGAAAACTATTTGGAAACTTATGAATACTACTGAAGGAGAACAAAAAAAATCTTCCAGCCCCATTGTGGAAGATTTGAAGTCTAGCAATGCTCATTGCATCTCATACAAAATAAAAGATCTCAGTAAGGTATGTGTGACATTCACTTCTATTTTCACGTAAGATAACTTAGGTGCAGTACCATATGTACTTTTGGTTCTATTCTCCAATGTTTTACTTGGATATATATGCTGAACTTTATTATCGAGGTGAAACTCTAATTCTGATTAGATAACAACACTAAAAGTACCAATGGTACTAAGTTTTATTCTTTCGCATATTGGCAGTTGTCAAGGCTCTAATTTTATTGATTGAAATGATGCTAGTAATTACCTTTTTCAGGCAAAGAGAGTTGATGACTTGAGACAGAAGCTTAGGATGCGAGGCCTACGATGTCATCCTATGTACTGTAGGCGGTCATCTAGCATGCAAGTTATTCCACTCCTTGCATCAAGAGCACAAGCACTCAGGTAACAATTCATAATAAATAGTAAAGGAGATTTTTGTAGAACTCATTAGTTAACACGTACTCAAATTAAAGGCACTGATGCTAGCTAGCTTACATGCTAAGAGTGTTTCTAGAAATCTATTTTAATTCCTTTGGAGGGAGGAGCTATAAGAAATCGCCCAGTGAGCTTCAAGGGAAAAAAATTCTATTTAGAGTCTTGTTTAATAAATCAGTTTTATATATATATATATATATATATATACTCTCAAACCCATTTAAATCTGTCTTAAAATAGTTTATTGTTGTTAAAGGAAAGAAAATATTTACTTAACATTACATGAAACCTTTAAACATTGTTTCTATCTGACATCAATTTGGATACCTTTGTGTTTTGTATTGGTGTAACTCTTCATACTTCTCGATATTAAAGATGATATTTTATGAAGATGGTAGAAATCAAGTTGGATGTAGGTAACTTAAGGTTCAAGCCTACTGTTCCTCGTCTTTAATTTAAAGATTAATCTGAGCTATGAAGCACAGACAACTCGTTGACACGTATATGTATGTCCTATATTTTAGACATTAGCACTGTCCGTTGTCTATGTAGGAGTGTGTGCTTCATGTAATATGAGGGACTTGGCTAGTGCAATGTTTGTGTGCAAATCTTACACATCTTACTATGATTTATAATTGCAAAAGAAATGCTTAATATTCAATAGTTGACTGTTTACTCTTTAATCATATGTTAGGTATCTCTTTGTCCGTTGGGGACTGAATGTTTCAAACATGTATGTCATTCTTGGAGAAACTGGGGATTCTGATTATGAGGAATTGATGTCTGGAACTCACAAGACCATAATCATGAAGGGTGTGGTGCCTAAGGGTTCAGAAGAAATGCTAAGAGGTCCAGGAAGCTACCAACGAGATGATGTTGTACCCAATGAGAGTCCTCTAGTAGCATGCATTAAAGAAATAACTGAGGACAAGATTGCTAAAGCTTTGAAAGAACTATCTAAATCTGGGGTAATGTGAGGTGATAAACTACTAGATGCAATTTTCTTCTTTATTATCTTTTATTTAAAAATATGAAAACAAATTAAGTAGTACCAATTGATCAATTTGCTTTTGTAGAGAACAAATGGGAAATGGATGTAATTTTTTGCTTTGTGAAGCATAGAATCTAGCAAAAGTAATATATGGCTTATTTTTTGACAAAATGCTTTTTGATGTAAGAACATAAATAGAAATTTCTCTTTTAAAGTACAAGTGCAGCTGATGAGTAATCATGAAACCTTATTTTTTGGTTTTGGAGGGGAGGGCAAATTTTTTTTAAATAAATATATTTCAAATTAATATTTTTTAAAATAAAATATATAAATTGATATATTACTTAATATATTACTCATATATTTATTACTTAATATATTACTCATATAATACATAAATCATATATCAATTTTGACGGCTAAATAAACAATTTGATCCCAAGCAAGGAATAGCCAGGTACACAAACAAAGGATGCAACTTTGTCTTCATGTATATCTTGTTACTTTTCTTGTTTGTGAAGGATTTCTCAGTGGCTAGGGATGACAATTGTTTATAGATTTGATGGGTAGGTTTAAATTTATCAGAGAGCGCGGAATTCAGGACTAGGTAATTGCGTGAAGTTCTTTTTATAGATGAATATAAATTTGGAGAACAAACCCACTTAATATGTTTATTATTATGATTTTAAAACCAAAATTTGAATAGATCATTGTATAATTTTTTAATTGAGTTAATTACATGATGCACTTCTAGTTAATATTTTTTATTTATGAATTTTCATAATTAATTTTAGTATTGAAATAATATTTTTATTTTATTAGTTTGTAAAAAATAAACTCAGTACAAAAATTTATATTTTTTTATAACATGTAATTCTAATTTAATGGTTAGATTGATAAAAATTATATTTCGCTTATATATATATATATCACTTATTTTCTTTAAAAGGAGTATCTAAGTTAGATTTTGGTATATTTTTAAAAAATATTTTTATATAATAAATAAATAAATAAATTTTATAACCTGCCAGTACACTCTTAAAAGTGTGTTCAACAAAAATTAGTGAGTTCTACACCATTTAATTTATATGGTTGATTGAAAAACTTATATATGCAAAATTTTAGATCAATCTGATGCTTTTAAAATGTATAAAAAAAAAATTGTGTGTGTTAAAATATTGTAATCATGTGTATTGTTAAAAAGTTACACAACTTTTTAAATTAAATTTGTAATTTTAATTAATTTTTAATTTTGATCCTCTATATATGATTGTATAGCCCAAATTTTTAATCAAATTCTCATATTAAAAAAATATAATCACTAAATACGTCTCATGTATCTATATGTATGTATAACTTATTCAAATTTAATGAATAAACACAAAAGAAATACTAATAACAAGTTATTAGTTCATATATATAAAAACTTATACATTTTAATTCTTATACAACAAGTTGTTGTGAGCGATTCTTTATTGATTTCTACATATAAGATATTATGTATTTTGGTATATATTAAAAAATATAATAATACCATTGTAACTTAAATAAACAGTGGAAGTAAATTTATAATGTTTTTATAAATACCAAAATGTAAATTAGAAAAAACAAAAAAAAGTATAAGAGCTAAAATTATAAATTAAATTTTTAATATATTTTTATTATTAAATTTTTTTGTGAGATTTACTTAATCAATAAAGAGTGATATCTGCGATATATAATAAAATTTATAAAAATTTTATGAAATAACAAAAAGAAAAAAACTTAGAACCTTAATAGAAATCTTAAGAACTTTATTAAGTAGAATAAAATAAGGTGTCACATTTTATAAATAAGAAATTAAAATATTTATTTATTTATGATAAATAAATAAAATAAGTTCTCACATATATTTTGAGCTGCGAATAAAAAGGGTTCTCAGCGAATCAGCTTTATTCTTTGATTGAGTCGTTGCCATTTGAATATCATTAATGATTTCAGATGTCAACAAATGCTGCGTCCTTTTCTACTGCAAAATGTTTCTAAAGAGTTAATTATCATATTAGAACTCAACTTTAGAAACTTTTATTTTTAATCATTTTTTAAAGATAGTAAGATGGACCAATTTAATCGTTAAATTGTGTTAATAATTATGTATTGTAAATTTTATATAATTTTAATATATGTATGTTATTAAAATGTTAATATTTATTTATATTTTAAAAACATATTACACGTTAAAATAAAATAATACAAAAAAGTATATATTATTTTTATTTTTAAATAAAATTAATCTATTTTGTAAAATTTTTTAGTCAATTTTATATTTTATAAAATATTATTAAAATATGTAAATATTCAAATTTCAGATCAGTATGAATGGATCTAATTCATGTATATATATATATATATATATATATATATATATATATAATTTGTATATTATATTAAATTGATAATTAAAATTTTCAATTAATATTAAATATAATAAATATTAATAAATCACCATTATAATATAATTATATCATTTTTTATATTTTGAAATAAGACATTAAATATCTATAATAATTATATTTTAGTTCATTTTTATTATTATCAAAACAATCTTCTATCAATGAAATGAAGTTTTCAAATTTTATTTTTGTCTAAAGGAGGCTGATGCAAGGCTCACACAGGAGAAAAAGAAAGAGAAGGGTATATAGAAAAGAGGCAAAACGCGAGGATATTTTAATTTTTAATATTTATTTTTTAAAGTAAAATATTTTTCTTATTAATATAATTATAAGAGAAAGAAAAGAGTATTAATTTTTTTTATTAAAAAGTATCTTGAAATAAATTAAAATTTATAAAAAGTGAATATATTATTATATATAAAAATTTCTTAAATTAGATCGAGAATTAGATTTGTTCCCTAATTCAGTTAAGTCAGAAGAAGATAAATGAATCGAATCGAACATAAATTATAGTACAATTGTTTTCGTGACATCTAGCTCTTACGTTTGTGAAAATCTGCTTAATTCTGTTGAAACATGGTACAAATGAAGATGCAAATTATTCTGGAATGGTTTGAGAGTACAGCATAACAACACTAATATATTATACACTAACTTACCTTCCATCAACCCTTTTTCTTTTTAGCATGCTTTTTGAAAACACAATCATTGATGGCAACTCCAAACTCCGAAGGACTTAGTTTCCTTGGCATCTAAGATTTAACAATTCGTCAATCACAGTTTCAAAGACTCACTTTTCTCAAGAATAAAAAAGAACAAAAATCCAAAACTATGAAATCTGATGTGTGAAGTGAACCTCTTCATCTTTTGCATGTTAAGGTTCCTTTGTTTATCGCCAAAAGAAAAAGCACTCGGCAAAACAAAAAGTGGTAGTAGCAGTTGCACCACACTCTGTTCCCTTCTTTTTCTTTATATATTTTTTATTTTTCTTTTACATTTTTTCCTCCTTTTCCCTTGTTATCAGAGTAATTCCAAAACCTCTCTCTCAATCAAAGTATCAATCTTTTTGGTTCCTTCTTCTACCCCATTACAAAAAGATGGAAACTTTAGCTTCCCTCACTCTTCACTCAAACCACAAGAGCTTTGGAGCTTTCTGGGTGGTAAAGAAGAAGAAGAATAACATTGAGGAAGGAACCTTAAACATTGCATTGGTATTGGTATTGGTGGTGGAAGGGACATGGCCAGTTCTAGTGGCACAAAGGGTCCCTTTGAGATGGTTAGGCAACAATCAAGGAGGATGCAAAGGGCCCCAACAAGGAATGTGGAATTGGGAAATGAGGAAGGTGTTGTGGACAGTGAGATTGTGCCTTCTTCACTTGCTGTGCTTGTGCCAATTCTCAGAGCAGCACTTGAAATTGAGGAGGAGAATCCTAGAGTTGCCTATCTTTGTGAGTATTTTTCCATTGGGTTTTGATTGTTTTTTAATGCTTAATCATTGGAAAATAGTGTAAGTGTTGTATTGTGACTAGTTAGTTGTTAAGTGGTGATGTTCACCAGGAATTGTTTCTGTTTTGAGTATGGAAGTAAAGGACTAAAGGTATTAAAGGGTAAACACTGTGGATTTCCTTGGATGATTTGTGCATTTTGTCCTTTTTTTTTTATTTTTTTCAGAATGAAAGAATATATTGTTTTATAGTATTCTGAAGTGCAAAAGTTAAGGCCGGGGGGGGGGGGGTATCCCAATTAAGCGTTGCAAAATGCCAAAATGAACAACAATTGAGACAACACTTCAAATATAAAATTTGTATCACATGTTATTGCATGATTATAATTTGTTTTGTGGAAGGAAAAGAAAGGGGGGAGGGGTTAAAAGAAGAAATATTATGAGGGGGAAGAAAAAAAGGACATTAGAAAAAGAGTTGGATATGATTAAAAAAGAAGAGGTTCCTTTGTTATTTCTTTCACTGCCCCTAAAGTTGATAGATGAAAAAAATCAACTGATTTAAATTAAGAGGGCACATGCAACAGTGACCTCACTTTAAATAATCATAAGGATTTGGCTGTAGGGCAACATGAAAATAAGTGGGTGATTGCATCAGAGCTAAAATTTCATCTCTGATATTTCAATTGATCTTTAGTGATTATCTTGTTGAGTACCACTATTCAAATGAAATACAAAACTTTCCGGTGAGCTTTGACAATTATTGGACTTTGAAAAAGAGTTCAGCAATAAAGATGAATACTTGATAATAAAGGCTAAATTAAGTTAATATGATCATCTATAGAGAAAAGAAAAGAGCTCTTCCAAATTTCCTAGTGGTTGGAAATCTTTTGAAACTGAGATATTACCACTGAACTGAATATCCAAACAAATAAGAGCCTTCTTCAAAATCTTTAAACCAATTGAGGATTATCACTACTTACGATCTCATAAAGGTTATGAAAATGTGGTGGAGAGTCCACGTTTTTAAAATGAAAGGGAGTGAAGCCTGACTTTATGGTGCATGCTCGATCTCGAAAGAATACAGTAATCAGTGATGAGACATGATTAAGTCTCTCATAGGACATCAGAAAAGAATATGCCCAAATTATAGGGAAAAAGAAATGAAGAATGATAAAAATGGCTGAATAATTATTCAATGAAAAGCATACAGTAGAAAGTAAAGCAAGTTGTTTTCACTTCTATTATTTATCAAAATAATGTAAAAAAGAATATATTGAATTTCAATTAAACAATAATTGTTAAGATATAGTGGATGCCTATCGTTAGCATCATATGGGCCATCAAAGTTGTCCTTATGCTGCAGTCCCCTGTCAAGAACATACTTATATGTCTCCTTTTATCATTTCTACCTCAACGGTGGGTTCCTCTTTGTTACACAGAAAACCGACACATTGTTTCCTCATAGTCTCTGCTTTGGCAGATTACTAATACTAACCCATTTTCTCAAGTTGGGAGAAGAAACTCTGAGTTGCCTGAGACCCTTCATTTCTCGTGAGGATTTGAACCGCCAAGTTGCCAACTACTTACTGAAAATCCTTTTTTCTGGGGCTGCTTCAGTGAACCTAAATTTAGTCTGTTCAACATAATCCAAACATAACCCAAAGGAAAAAAGGACTTGGTAAAATAAATAAGTAAATATATATCCAAAACAAGCTCTCATTTAAATGTATCATATTGAAGCCAGATTATGATTGCAGAATTGTTACTTTGACAGCAAACACAAGTTTAAAGTCTTTCTAAAAAGGCAATGAAAACCAAAAATAGAAGGGAAACATTTTTTCAGCACATCAAAGTTGATTTTAAGTAATATTTGCAGAAAAGCATATGATACTGAGGAGTTTCCTCTGTTTGTTTAACTAGGTCGCTTCCATGCGTTTGAGAAGGCCCATAAAATGGATCCAACATCTGGTGGGCGTGGTGTTCGTCAGTTCAAGACTTACCTATTGCACAAACTCGAAAAGGTACACTCATCTAATTTTATTTTCTTGCAATTCTTATAGTCCCTGAAGGTGCTGTTTTGTTACTTTTCATTGGTGTCTGAGCTTGTAATGATGGATGTCCTGTTGATTTGTGTCTAAAATATTAATCTCAGCCTAATAATATTTTTTTCTTTTTCATTTTAATGAAAGTCTTCTTTTTGTCAGGAAACCATTAGCATCAAACAATGATTATGTTAAGGCTATATAGTGATCATTTGTGAATAAGAACACCAGTCATTTCTTAATGCCGATCTGAAAAAAGAGATCCTAGTAGTTTATATATTAAACATGATTAGAATTTCCTGGTTGCAGGAAGGGGATCTTACAGACAAACTGGTTAAAAGAAGTGATCCTAGGGAGCTGCAGGCCTACTACCAACAATTCTATGAGAGAAAAATTCGGGAGGGAGAAAATTCCCTAAGACCGTGAGGCTTTATCTTAAATTTGTTCTTGCAAGTTTTGTGAATTGTGTTATGAAATCTTGTTCTTTTGATTGTTGTTCTTGAAGGGAGGAGATGGCTAAGAATGTTCAGATTGCCACTGTACTGTATGAAGTGCTGAAGACTATGGTACCTCCACAAAGTATTGACGAGAAGGTTTGTTTTGCTTGATTAGGCTACCATGACTAAAATTTGTAGAATAATTCTAAACATAGAAGGACATGGACTGAGGTTGTTTTATTGCCAGACCAAAATATATGCTGAGGATGTTGAGAAAAAGAGGGGACAATATGAACACTATAACATCCTTCCATTATATGCTGTTGGTGTTAAACCAGCAATCATGGAACTTCCTGAGGTTTGTATGTATGGGATATATGCATTGTTTGTTTTGCTTCTGTTAATGATATAATTTCCTTGAAAGTTAGCTTTTTAACCTGCTTTTCTTTTTTTTTTCTTTTTCTTGAAATTGTAGATCAAAGCAGCAATTGCTGCTTTAAGTAAGGTGGAAAATCTTCCAATGCCCATAATTCGTTCAATTGCCTCTAATGATGATTCTGCAATGCCTACAGAGAGGGTTAAAAATGTGAATGATATACTTGATTGGATTGCCTCAATTTTTGGGTTTCAGGTAATGAATATTATTTTATCTATTTTATTACTTAATTTTTGCCGACCTCACCTATGGGATAAGATTTAGTTGTTATTTTCTAGTGTCTAATTTCACTTTCATTGGAAGTTGTTATGTCACGACCCAGAATTGGGCTTGTGACCGGCGCACAGGCTAAGCTACTTAGAAACACCACTTAACATAACAAGTCTGTTTAAAAATTAATACATGAAACAATAAACTCTTTCAAACAAGTAGTATGACAAATATGCCAAAATTTTGGTAGTGTTTTCTTTGTAATTTTATTATTCTAAATTATGATAACTTGTTAGAACAATTTATAACTAGACCACAACCAATCCAATCCTAGATTCTTATAATATCAAAAACATCTATTACATAACCAAACTAAAAATCTAACTCCTTAACAACTGCAAAAAATCCAAAATTTAACACAAACAAAAAGAAAGAGGACCACAAAACAATGGGAACCTACTGCTACTAGGATAAGCTGATGTTTCCAATAGCTTCTCCGCTATTTGATGATCTGGAAATAATAAATAAATAAGAAGTGAGTCACACAGACTTATTAAAGGCATAATAACCACAATGAACAGGAAAGTAAAACAAATAAGCACAAGTAGCTCAATATCTTAGAACTTGCTTATAACATGTGAATTATAAAAATAAATTCATTCAAATTGCCTTTCCAAAAGTTTGGTCGTAAATCAAAAGTTCAAAACTATACAATATTAAATAAAAATATTTTTCATTCTAATTGTCTTTCCAAAAGTTGGCCATAAATCAAAAGTCCAAAACTACACTATTAAATAGAAATATTCATCCAATCACAATTATTGTAATGGAGTACTTATATACCAAAATATGCATAATAGTTTTCTAAAATATTATAAAAAATATATATATATATATATAGTATTGTAAGGGTCATTCATGAAAGAACCAAAGTCCAAAATAGGTCCATCTTGTTGATAGTCCCCTTCTTCCAAGGGCAGGCTCTCCCTTAGGGGTAGCTCATCTAACGGGTAACTTTCTTCTTGGTTATATCAAATTGTAATTAATCCCAACAGGAGCAATTCTATCTCGTTGATATCCCTTTCTATGCATTGGCAACTCTATCTAACGGGTAACCCTCTCTTCTGGGAGTATAATTAGGTGCACTTAGACCGTTGTTTCCACTAATTGTTATGGTGTTCTAACATAATTTCTCCCTAAAACGTTTTCGTTATAAAAAGTCATTTTTATACACAAATCAAATTTATTTTCAATAATAAAGATCTTGATACATATATTTCATAATTAAAAACTATCAAAATTAAAATTGTTACTTCTTTCATTCTTTATATATAATTCATATAATTTAACAAAATATGTATCATAAGAAATAAATTTAAAATAATTACTTCTTTCAATAGATTCATAGTTAAAATTTAAAAATATACCTTCTAATGAATAAAGCATGCCAATAACTAATTTTTCTTATATCATAGAGTTGTGAGTATACCTTGGGAATTCAAATAAAAATTTTCTTTCCATTTTCCAATGGGTAGCACCCCTTTCTCTTTAGAGCACTATCTCTCACTCCAAAAATTCACCTCAAAGTTCTCCTTGTCAAGGAAAAAAATAATTGGATTACTGGATTTTTTCCGAAATCTCAAAAGGATAAATGAATGCAAGAAAATGAATTCCCACTTGAAGGAATGAGAAAAAATGGGAGGAATGGCACTATGATATGATAATTCAAGGAATTACAAGAACTCGATGAACTATAGAGAAATAGGGAATCTTGAGACGAAAAAAGATTCTGAAATTCTATTATTCAGAACAAAAGTACAAATAATTGTGAATTGTTATGTAAATCTCTCCTAAAGAACTATTATTCTCCCTATATATAGCTGCAGAGTAACTAACAGAAATCACTCCCCTCTAATTTGTCTTATTTATTCTCCAATCCAATCTTTATTTATTCTCTCACAATCGCTATTTATTCTCTCCTATCATTATCCACCGCCCAAAAACATCCTTGTCCTCAAGGATGAAAGGCAGGAAATCACTACAAAATAGTAAAACTCCCATGTGGCATCCTCCGGAAGTTGATGTTTCCATTTTACCAGAACTTTAGTAACAGCCCGGTTGCCTCACTTGACAGTCATTCTATCCAAGATAGATTCTGGTTCACGGGAAGCAAGGCTTGCATCAGTGCTGGCAGGAAAATCTGTAGTAGTAACCACAGTGCCGATATGTTTCCGTAGTTGAGAAACATGAAAAACATTATGAATGCGAGACTCAACAGGAAGTTGAAGTCTGTAAGCCACAACGCCTATGCGATCCAGCACCTTGAAGGGGCCATAAAACTTGGGTGCCAATTTAGCATTAACCCGATGAGAAACAGAAACTTGACGATAGGGATGAAGCTTAACATAAACAAAATTCCCTAACTAAAACTGTCGATCACTGCAATATTTATCGGCAAATTGCTTCATTCGGTCTTGAGCTCTTCGGAGGTGAAATTTCAACAGCTTTAACATCTCCTCACGCTTGGTTAAACTTTTGTCTACTAGCTCATTCTTCGAATCACCAGGAAGATAAGGTAAGTAGATTGGTGGTGGCTGCTTGTAGACTATTTCATAAGGGGTGGCGCGGATAGAAGTATGGTAGGTGGTGTTGTACCACCATTCTGCCAATGGCAACCACTTAGACCATTGTTGTGGGGCATCAACAATCATGCATCGCAGGTAAGTTTCTAAGCAACGGTTCACCACCTCCGACTGACCATCTGTTTGTGGGTGGTAAGCCGAAGAAAGCTGCACTTGAACACTCTGAAAAGCTATAAGATCTTGCCAGAAGTTGCTAATGAAGATAAGGTCTCTATCGCTAGTGATGGTGGCAGGAAAACCATGAAGTTTGAAGACATGATCTAGGAAGGATTGAACCACATCGCTTGCTGTGTAGAGATGAGACAGTGCCATGAAATGTGCAGCTTTGCTTAATCGATCCACAACAACAAAGATAACATGTTTACCGTAAGAAGGAGGTAAACCATCGATGAAGTCCATGGTTATATGCTGCCAAATATGATCAGGAATAGGCAGAGGGTGAAGTAAACCGGGGGAAGCAGCAGGATCATATTTACATTGTTGGCAGATTGAGCAGTGTTGGATGAACGCTTTCACATCTCTAGTCATTCCTCGCCAATAAACCACTGACTTCAACCGTATAGTGGCGTTTCTGCCCAAATGGCTACCAATAGCAGAAGAATGCAACCAGTTGATGATATCCTCCCGGAGTTGCACATTATTGCCAATCACCAATCTTTCCTTCCTGCGCAATTCATCATTCTGCCAAGTGTGATGTCTATGAGACCCTGTATTGGCTTGCAGTTCCATGATCACCTTTTGCAATCCGGTATCGGTGACCCAAGATTGTTTGATTCGTTCCACCAATTCAGATTCTAAAGAATGGACAGTGAGAGCCTGATATTCAACCTCTTCCATTCGTGACAAGGCATCGGCCGCTACGTTCTCATGACCTTGCAATTTCTCTTATTTATTCTCCAATCCAATCCCTATTTATTTTCTCACAATCGCTATTTATTCTCTCCTATCACACTAAGAGGCAAAGTGATGCAAAACTAAGCGTGCTTGGGGGGAGGGGTTGTGTCAAAAGAAAAGGGAACTGATGGAGCGGGGCACTGTGAAAGAAGAAGGAAGTAAATGTAGAATGAAAGAGGTGATGCTCTAACTCTTTTTCTTTTTCTCTTTTTTTTTTTTTGCTTTTAAAGTAAAACGGGGAGTTTCATTTACAAATCTAGAAACAGAATATGGGAATAGAATGCTTTCATTATTGAATAATGAATTTTGATTCACAACATCGAAAAAGTAGATAATTCTCCTCCAAGGTTTTCCCTTTCATAAAGGGTTTCTCCCTTTCTAAAGGGTTTTAGGTTATAGATGGTGGTAGATGAAGTGAGATAGACTGGCACATGATTATAGTTGAATTCGTAGGAGAACTGGGATCAATTTTTTATGTTTTGATCAAAGGAATCAAGTTTATAATAGACTAGGGTTAGTTTTAGAAGGGATGGATTGAAGGTTTAGTGGATATGTTTTCGTTCAATTTATTTTTGAAAAATAAATTTTTAGTTTTTACCAATTTCTTGATATACCTTCTAAAAAAAATGTGTCTATTTCTCTGGAAAAAGCATTACTAAGCATGCACTCATTTCAACATGTGTTAACATTAGGCTGGTTTGGAAGCAACAGGATATTGATTAATGACAAAAATGGTGCTATTTCATAGCTATGAACCAGACCTTCAAATTAGGTTGAAATTTGGAAAGGGTTCTTGAACAAAAAATCTTTCTTGTTATCTGGAATGAGAATAGATCTAAGCAATCCTTAAAGCATAATCATTTGCAGATTGGTGTGTTTGTGGCTGAAGAAAAATGCCAGTGATTTTCAGTGGAAATATCTTCCTTGAGCTTGGTCTTTGATTTTAGATTAAAATCATGGCAAGTGCACTAATCGTTTTATAGAATACAAAGATATCATTTCCATGAGTATTGGATTCAAATACCGTTTTTTCCCTATATTCCTACTATTTGGATTGACTGAAAGATTAAGTTGATATTAATACATTGAACTAAATGAATTTCAAAGTATAAATTTCTATGACGAGTTAATGTTTGTAATTTTCTAATTTCTTTTAATTTTAAAAAAACAAAGATTAAAGTATGAAGTATGAATTAAAGAACATGATAACTTTCAATTGAAATAAGATAATAAAGATAAGTGTTAGGATTAGAATCCTCTTAGCTCTCCTTTCACATGTTCTAATTTTTTTCTCCAATCAACATTCTCTCAATTAGAAAAATGCCAGTGTTTTTCAGTGGAGATATCTTCCTTGAGCCTTCTATGGAATAGGTTTTTCTCACTAAAAACATGACAAATGAACAATTAAATGTCATTGTTTATCTTTGGCTTGTACTTTCTTTAGAGCTTTGCTTTTTTTTTTTTTTATGAGTTTTTGTTAACTTATAAAGGGAATGGAGAGCTTATGTAGCTTATTCTTCCTTCTTTATGTCATGATTTCATTTATTTAGAAGTTGTTCTACAAGGATTTCTTGCTCTCCTTTTGTATATTTCTCTTCTTTCTATTATTTAATTCCTTTTTTAAAACAGTAAAACTTATCAAAATACATGGTATAGTGAAAATAATGAAAAAAATTCATGCTTGATTTTTCACAATATTAATGGCATCTACATATTGGCAGTATACCATACAGAAAGTTATGCTAAGAACTTATAGAATTTTATTGTAGTGTTTTATTTTATTTTATTTTAATCATCTTGTATGTCTCAAAGGAGTGGATTTGAATCTCTCTTTTGCATCAAAGTTATACTTCTTTTCAACTTTTATTGTTGGCTTCCCATAAGTAATACAGCTATGTGTTATTTTTTTGGTGTGCTTTTCTTGTGAATGATCTGATTTAATGATTATTTCTTTTTTGGGATATGAAGAAAGGAAATGTGGCAAATCAAAGGGAGCACCTTATATTATTACTTGCCAACATGAATATAAGGAACAAGAATCCATCATCTCAGGTAAAATATTGTTTCATGCAAAATCTTATTGTTTTTTTTTTTAATTTCATTTTTAATGGACAGGATCATACTAAATTTCAATGTTGCTTATCATATTGCAAACTGATAAGAAGCTTGTTGCAGCTCCATGAAGAAACTGTAGAAAAGTTGATGACTACAATTTTCAAAAATTATGAGTCTTGGTGTCATTATGTGCGTTGTAAATCTAATATTAGGTAATTGAATGTTTTACTGTGAGTTAATAAAACCCAAGGATTTGCACCTTTAATTGTGTTTCATATAATTATTTAACAAGAGCTCTTTGATTCATTTCGCCTTGGTATATGCAATTTTTTTTAACACTTTATAGGTATCCAGAAGAATATGAGACACAACAGATAGAGCTGATTTTCATTGCACTTTATCTTCTAATATGGGGAGAGGCTTCAAATATTCGCTTTATGCCTGAATGTCTTTGCTATATTTTCCATTGTGTAAGTTTTCTACTACTATCTGTCAAACATTCTTAATAACATAGCGTTCATTTTGCCTTGCTTGTTCTGTGAGTTTCTCATCTCATACCAATACTTTAAGAGTATGTTTGGGAAAAGGCTTTTAAAGAGGAGGACATATGTTTTAATTTTAAATTAAAAAAATTATATATCATTTATGATGATGATAAATGCATGATTAATACATTAAATTTATATTAATACATCAATTGATATCTTTAATTTTAAAAGAATATTAATTTTAAATATATTTATTTAAAATATAAAATTTGCCCTCCCCTCCAAAACTCTCTTTTCCAAATAACTCCTAAAACTTTTAACGAACTTATGTTTCATCATGTTAAACAAAATGTTTCTTGTGATATCTGTTTCAAACTATCACTATCACCTCGATCAATGACATTACATGTGTTTTTTATTCTACCTTTGACTATTCTCTATTCATCAATTTCTTTAATCTCTTGAATCATTTTTCTTATAGAAAGTGAAACTTTGAAATTAAACAGAAGATATTTCATGAATAGAACAGAATATATTCTATTTTCAGATTAAACAAATAAAGTCATTCTAGTTATTTGCCAAAATTAATTCTAATTAAGAAAAGCCTTCTCTAAACCACATAAAATTAGAGTTTCCATTTTGTACATCAATGTATTTGCAGAATATATCTTTGAAAGGAAAAAGATTTCCTCACATCATCAATTCCTTCTAATGAAATTTTTAAGTACTATCCTATAACATTTGCAAATGAAATGTAGCAAGTTGCATGTTTATCTAAACTAAGTTTGTGGGATGGAGACATTTTGCCAGTTAATTTTGAGAACATCTACTATCATGCCAAAATCAACTCTTTGTAGCCCCAATTCTAAAGCCATGCAACATTGTCAAACTTCTGGTTTTAAATTGTTAAGATTTTCCACATTAGTTAGGAATAGAGTTAAAATACTTTTTATGAGGGTTAGAGTAGTCCTTCTCTTATGAGCTAGCTTATAAGAGTGAGTTAGGCCTAAATTTCTTAACATGATATCAGAGTTTATTTAGTTTGAATATTGGGCTGCCCACAAATGTCCAAGCGTGAGGGGAGTGTGTTAAGTTAAGATGTCCCACATTGTTAGGAATAGAGTCAAAATAGTCTTTATACGGACTAGGATAGTCCTTCTGAGTTAGGCTTAGGCCCAAGTTTCTTAATATAAATAAACATGTGGATGGAAAGTAAATTCAAGTCATAAATTTGTATGGTAAGAACTCTACAATCTAGTAGCACTAATCCTGACCCAGTAGCTATGTTCATTTTCAATTTCAACTTTAAGCTTTAACAGAGCAACATAACAAGCATGGGATACATACTGTGTTAATAACTCTTTCGCTCTCTCTCTTTTCCCCCCCAAAGATGTCCAATGAAGTCTTGCAGATTTTAGATATGCATGAGCACGCACATCATGTGACTGGGGGCAGACACCAAGTATTAGCACGTGATGATGAACATTTTCTCAGGGAAGTTATAACACCGATATATGATGTTTTAATGAAGGTCAGTGTGATACGGCAATAATTGGATTATTTGTTGCATGCTTTCAAATGTGTGCCTCAAACTTGTTTGTATATTTGATGAGAAAGGAAGCAAAGAGAAACAACAAAGGCAAGGCAAGTCATTCCAAATGGAGAAATTATGATGATCTTAATGAATACTTTTGGTAAATGTTTCATTGAATTTTTACTCATCAAATATTGAAAACACTTGAAACAGTGGGTTATATATATATATATATATATATATATATACACACACACACACACACAATTTGGATAAGAAGAAGCTCAAATATGTCCTTTTCCAGGTCTAACAGATGTTTTGATCTAAAATGGCCGTTGAATCTCGAAGCAGACTTTTTTAGGCATTCAGATGAGACACAAACAGCACATCGGGTCTGTATCTTTTTCTTTACATTTTGTCTGTGTGTGTCATTTTTCTTCTATCAAATGTTGAATGTAGTTAGCAATAAATGAATAATTGGTTTGTTTTTAATGTGACCATATCATTTACTCTATATTCTTCATGTGTAAATAATTTCTCCTCACATGTTAAATGCCATATTTTATGCCTTTGACAATGTGCCAAGTAATATCCTTTTTTTTTCTTTTTCCCTTTGTCAAAGAATTATTTTATTGATTGATACTGTTTTGTCCATAAGAGATTTACTGAAACAAAAATCAATAGCAAGAATAATCTTGTTACTACTAGCATGAAGTGCCAACTCTCATAGAACCCACATGAATGAGTCCTGCACCAGAAATTTGGATTGTATTAAGATGTCCCACATTGGCTAAAAATAGAGGCAAAATACTTTTTATAAGACTAGAGCAAACATCCTCCTATGAGCTAGCTTTTGGGAGTGAGTTAAGCCTAGTTTTCTTAATTGATTGGGACAAAGTTTTGGGTAAATAATATTTTTAACTTTATTAGATATTTCAAGGACAATGTCTCCTAAAAGCTAAGTTGCTAGGAGGAGGCATTTTGAATGCTTCAATATTTCTAACAAGTGTGAGCAGCACATAAGCCAACAGTAACTTGTGCACAAAATCCAATTAGAAAGATATTGGCATCAGCGTTAGTGAAGTGATGTGTATATATATATATATATATTTTAAAATAACTAAATTATTCATACAACAACTAATTATCACCAAATTGACCAAAAGAGTTAAATGCAGATCAATTCATTTTTGACAATTCATGGTTTCATTTTGGTGTTCAGCACATGTACTTTTTAAGAGTATTAATATTTCATATGCAAAGGGACTGAACAACACTTTTATACTGTCTAGTTATGAAGACATTCCTTCTTTTTTTGTGTTTTTCCCCTTTTTTATGGTCTTAGTTCAGGATTTCTAATCCTCCAACCTTTTGTACTTTTATCTCTTCCTCTAATAAATTGTTTCTTTTTTATAATGGAAAAAAAAAAGAAAAAAAAGAAGAAAAGTTGCCAGGAGTTGCAGGATCTAACTTCTAGTATTTGGTTGAATAGGATGTGGATGGCCTTTATTGAATTAGAGACTTGTATCATGTATATAATTATGCATATAACAGAACTTAAGTTCTTGTTCTCCTTTTCCCTTGCTCTTAGAGTTCCTACAGACATATTTATACAGCCTACTTCTTGACTTCGATATTTAGAAAATTGTTGCATTGGTCATTAGCAGTACTGTATGTTAATACTCACATTACCAGCCCTACTTGCATTACTTTGATGGAGACCTTTATTGAAGTATAAATGCCAATCACAGGGTCATAGCAAAGCCAGCACTGGAGCTGGTAAGACGAAGCCCAAAACAAATTTTGTTGAAGTGCGTACATTTTTGCATCTTTATAGGAGTTTTGATCGAATGTGGATATTCTTTATATTGGCTTTACAGGTAATTGTAGTAGTTGGACCTGTGGTATGTTCTTTATGTTGACTTTACTTAATGCTAAGACCTATGGTTAAGTCTTGAACTTCATCATGCAAGTTTTATTTCATATGTGAGTCTTTGTTTCAGGCAATGATTATTATTGCATGGAGTTCCTTGGAACCTGTTGGAGTGTTTTTTGATGGAGATGTCTTCAGAGATGTTACGACTATATTCATTACATATGCTTTTCTCAATTTTCTTCAAGGTACTTGATTCCTAAATGTCTAAGCTTTTTGTTGTTCCTACTTTTATCGAAATATATCTTAAGTAGATTTATTTAAAGGAGAGAAAAGATGACAAAAGGATTAAATATCAAATAACTACAGAAAAATTTGACTGATACTTTTCGACCTCTAGAAGAACAGCTCTTGAATGAATGCTAGGAGATATAGCTGAAGGTAGGCTATTTGCTAACAAATTATTTCCTACACCTTCCAAAAGGAGTCTAAGAAATCAACTCTAGACTAAGAATTGTGGATCAAATATTGAAAGAAGTGCTTTTACATTAAAATAATTTAAATTCAATGATTGAATTGTTTCAAAAACTCTGCCTATGGTCTCATATGTCAGGAATCGTATCCATAATAGTGGCAGTGGAACATTGATTCTCAAATGCCCATGTGATTATCACATCTCATAGCAAACATATACACTCAATTTTGATTTGAGTTACCTTGTTTTGGCAAACGTGGCAGTTACTATCACGTCTCTCTAGATACTCACAAAAATAGTTCACTAGTCTTTTGCCATTGCTATGCTAGTAATCACGATAGAGTGAATATGGCCACATGTAATTAAGGTTACACATCCAATGCACTTTTACATATAAAAAAATCACTAAATAGCATGGTTCAATCCTTAGATTTATTCATTACGTGTCTTATTTTAGTTTAAATAGACTTTGACTTCTCTAGTGGACTTGTTCTTCTGTGCAACCTTATATATAATTTTAATATTTAGTTTACAACATTTAAGTATAAATTATTTATATTTAATACTATAAATAGTGAGCGACATTTAATAATATATCACTATTTATAAATACCAAGAATATCATCCGATAGACATAACTTATTTATGTAATATATATATATGTGTGTGTGTGTGTGTTTGTGTATGGAGGGGGGAGTCCACTTTAACCCCTGTATCATTAATCATATGCAATTTAGATCCTGACTATTAAAGTGTGCCCTGCAACATCTTATAATTACCAATATGTATGAAGAAATCCTTTTGTTACTCAGACATCTTATTATCCACTTAGACAAAAATACCCCTGATTCTCCTCCTCTTAATCCTCCCCCTTATCGAAGCACAACCTAGGAACAATAACCAAAATTATTCCTATTGCAACCGATTCAGCCCCTCCATGGCCATCATAGTCGTCATACTCATCGTTACACTCTTGCTCATGGGCTTCTTCTCTATCTACATCTGCCACTGCGCCTACTCTCCCTCCAGCAGCATCTACAACCTCATCAACATCGCAAGACGTTCTCAGTGAGCAGCAAGAGGTCTAGACCTGGTAGTGATCAAGACGTTCCCCACTCTCGAATACTTGGTGGTGAAGATTCACACGATCAGAAAGGGAGCAATAGAGTGTGCATTGTTCTCCTCTGCATGCTTCCATTGTTTCACATATTCTCTCTCAATAGCATTTTGTTGGGCGCGCTTTGAGCAGGGAGCGTGGTTCGACTGAAGCATAAGTTTGAGATTGGTGCATTGCTGGAGTTGATATAGCAGCATTGCGTGACAGTGGCAATTGTGGTGCTGCCACTCGTGCTGGTGTTGGCCAGGAATCCCATGGTGTTGCAAAGAGAGGAAAAATTAAGGATTTGAGGGTATTTTTGTCCAAAGAACAGAGAAATTAGATGTTTTAGTAACCAAAAAGTTTCTTCACACAATTTGGTAACTATATGTCGCATTGTACACTTTCAAAAGTCTAAGTCTAAACTGCACATGACCAAACATATAAAGAGATAAAGCTGACTTTTACCTATATATATTATATGATTAGTCCATTTTTCCTTATATCTAATTGAGAACATGACATGAAACATGTTATCTTGTAAAGTCTAATTTATTGTTTTGATACCCAAGCAAAGTTTTCCAATTAAATATCATTTATTGTACTAAGCATGGTCATTCATTCCATAGATTGACTCTATTAGAAGGCTTTATAAATATTATTTCAGTTATATAGCAGGAACAAATCACATCTAGATTACTCACATTCCTCCACATAATTTATTTTGCATCTAGTCTCCAATTTTATGATTTCCTCATTACAAGTGACGTTTGATGGGATTAAAATATAGAACTTGTTATGTAAAAATCGTAGTGACTTTAGATCAAAGGACCATATATATCATTATCACACTGAATACCATTTACAACACTCATGCAATGTTCCCATATTGGGTTAGTCTAATACATCATTACTCCTAATATATATGTTTGTGAGAACTTGATTATCAATTCACTCACACACTAATCTCAATGTATTATATTATCTTTATCTTAATAATCAACTAAGAACATTTTAAGAATAGAACTAAGTACTATCTCACAATCAAATCATTTACTTGATATCATACAAAATTATATTTAATATTCTAAACATTTCATTATATTATTACAAAATAATTAAATCTAAAATGTTTCATTTATTAAAATAAATAATCATGATACAAAATGTATATTCATAACATAAAGGCTCCTAGTGCATAGACTAACACCATAGTCTATTTCAAGTCCAAATAAAGGAAGTTGTGTTATGCCCTTCAACAATCTATGTAAAACTTGTTGAAACCTATGTATGGATCACTCCCGGTCATATTGTGTTAGGGCTAAGTTGTGACCTGTAGGTAACACGTATGTACAATGTCAAATGAACTAAAGTTGTTGCATCAATGCTTGAATGTAGTGTTAAATGAGCAAGAGTCTTCATATTTGATTGGACAAATGTGGTTAAGATGTCTTGGCTGTTGTTGTTGATGATGATGATGAAACTGTTTCAAAATGTTGAATCAACATGTCCACCTTGGCCTGTATTGAGAATGTTGAACAGAAAAGAAAATGAGATAAAAGGAAACTAGAAAGTTTCTGAACTATGAATTTGGTTCATTGAATTGCTTTGATACAGACCAAACACTCGTGTAGGTGCTGTTATTCAACTAAGACTGACAATTGGCAACTATCAGTTACAACTAATTCTTACATACTCTTACAAGAAACTAATCAACTGAATAACTAAGCTGACTGTGTAGTTCCTCAACTAGTAGCTACGTAAGAGAGTATCAATATATAACAGCCTGCAACTTAAATTTCTTGCTGCATAACTGTAACATCTTTGCTCGTTCTCTATCAACCTTAGTTCTTTCTGTCTCCACTGCTATATTGGTAAACCTCTATCGATCTATCTATTTTTGTATGCATACAAATCCTAACTCCAAAATGGAAAGATTTGCAAAAAGATCTACTACTCCTTTCTGTTGGAGGTTGTTTAGTTCTTTAGTAAACAAATATAAAATGTTTATTTATTTTTTCTAAAATGATGGTAGCTTATTCATTTTGTAGTATCAAACTATCAATTGCAATTACAGTTGTTATTTTATAACTATTTTCGATATCTTCTATTTGCAGTAACTCTTGATATTATTCTCACATGGAATGCATTGAGGACTATGAAATTTACTCAGTTGCTTCGGTATTTTCTGAAATTTGTGGTAGCAGCTGTTTGGGTGGTTGTTTTGCCAGTCTGTTATTCTAGTTCTCTACAGAATCCAACGGGGCTTATAAAATTTGTCACAAGTTGGGCTGGGGATTGGGGGAACCAGTCACTTTACACCTATGTTGTTGTGTTATATATGTTACCAAACATATTGGCTGCAATACTTTTTTTCCTCCCACCTATGCGGAGAACAATGGAGCGCTCCAATATGCGAATCATTACCCTTTTGATGTGGTGGGCTCAGGTTAGCAACACTTGCATTTATTTGTTTATTTTTTGTGGAAATACCTGTGCAGAAGTTTGGTGTGTTAATATTTGGATCCCTATTGGTACACTTTATCTAACATTGACAATGCTGCAGCCAAAATTGTATGTAGGCAGAGGCATGCACGAGAGCATGTTTTCACTGCTAAAGTAAGTGGGAAATTCTTGTCAAATTCCCTTTTGCATCAAGTTATATTTACAGTATGTGGGAGTGTGGGGAAGGGGCTTTGGCAGAATTTCAAGATGGAAAACTTCCTTTTGCTCCAACCAAGTTTTACTTTTTAGTTGGTTTCATTTGTCCTCAAGAAATCTTTTCTTCGGAAAGATGATATTTGTAAGCATGATTATGTAGAATTTCAATTGTTTTTGTTATATTAAACATAATTTATCATTAGCTTCGTAAGATATTTAGTGTTTTTTGGAACCCTTTTTTTAAGGGAAATAATCCTTTTTATTTTTTATTCAAAACCTATTTCAAGAAGCCATCAAAAACACAGTTTTTTTACCACAAAATAGGCTAATTCAACATGCACTACTCTATCAACTGCCTTTTAGAGTTTTCATCATATTATTTATGAAACTTTTGGCCAATACATTTTAGGGACAACAGGTCAATATTTGAATTTTTTTTTTTCAATTAAATCAGATTAATGGAGGTGTATTTCTTTAATATGTATTTTGTTATGTCAGGTACACCTTCTTTTGGATCATGCTGCTAATCAGCAAGCTTGCATTCAGCTACTATGTGGAGGTATTAATTATATAAACTGTTTTTTATTTTATTTTATTTTGAGTTCAGTAGCCTGAGAATACTAAAACCCATGTAAGTGATAGTGTCACTTTGTACGTGTATACATGCGGTCAATGATTGAGTTGAAGCTGTTGAATTGAATATCAAAATAAATACCCACTTTCTGGATATGCTCATGCACATGGACAAATATGGGATGAATTATAATTGTAATTTAATACATATCCTTCTCCCAGCTAAGTTAGCTAATACATATTCCTTGTATCTATTCAAACTAACCAAAGTAATGAGGGGCATCCTTACTTTTTATAACGTTTGACTATGATTTTTAATAAAATAAAAATCATGCCTTGAATGCCAAGAGAGTGAGAGATTAAAGTCTTGAATGACAAACCTGCTTTCTCTGTCAAAATATCCATTCAAATTTTTTAGTGTTAAAATATCTACAAAATATTTAGAAGAAGAGAATTATGCATAATAGGTTAGGATAAGCAGGGCTAGGAGTTTAGGACTTAATTCCCAGTATAATAGGACTTTGTCTTTGGAATCACTTCAAAATATATGACATCAATTTAATATTGTGTGTCTTCAGTGTCTCTATTTTCCCTTTTTCTCTTTCCATACCTAAATCACATAATTTCAACAAGTATATTGAGTGAAGAAAATCAATAATTTATTATAAATAAACTTTTTCTAAATTATATGTAACATATCTGCATACAAATTCTAATTTTATAAAATTCAACTCAAATATTACCACAGTTTCTTCTTTATACAAGCTTAATGATGATAATATGGAGATTTAATCGTAATTTTTGACGGCATTATATTGTAAATAGTGTTTAGAGTCATGGTATTGTCGAACCAAATAATGTAATCACACTAATTAGGAAACTGTCTCATTGCATAATTATAATAATCCTATATATATAGCCTCTGTGTTGTAGGCCTCTGTGTTGTAGTAGAAATACACAGTTTCAGCATCTTTATGCCTCTCCTTTTTATCTCTTTCTCTCATTTGTAATTTTGTGCAGAAAGTAAAAATATCATGAAATCAATTCCCAATAAATGAACTATTGAATTCTTGCAATCATGTTTCATGTATTATCTTTGTTCATGTGTCATTATTGTATGAAGGTCACCAAATGTTTTTTAAATAGTACTTCATTAAATTTGTTTATCTGGTCTACTAAGCTAATCTTTCAATAGATATTGCCCCTCGTTGGACCAACAAAATTAATCATGAGGATGCCTATAGATAATTACCAGTGGCATGAATTCTTTCCAGAAAATGGTAACTTCTACGTCCTTTTTACTATCTTTACTACATATTCTGTCAATATAGCTAGCTTCAATCTCACATTCTATAATGCTACAGAGACTCACAACATATGTATTGTCATTGCAATATGGGCTCCAATTATTCTGGTGAGTTCAGAGGAATTTTGGAGTGATGAACTTATCTCGTTACATTGCTTTGGCTTTCTCATTTATGTGTTTTAATTCATTCCATTCTTATATGTTTTATTAATCAATAGGTTTATTTTATGGATACTCAAATATGGTATGCCATTTATGCTACTCTATTTGGTGGGATTGTTGGAGCCTTCAGCCATTTGGGAGAGGTTAGTGGCATGGTTATTGCAATATTTTATATTGAACCTTTGTAACTTCCCCTTTATGTAATTTCTTCTTTAAACCCACAAGAAAAAAAAAATTGTATTATTTGATAATAAGCAGCATCATAAAACCTATCTTTATAAGAAACTTTTCAAAAAAATTGCTAGGGATAATAATAGTAAATTCATATTGGTGGTACAATACCTATCTGGTGATGCCTCCTAACATTTTGCTTCGTTTAGATAAGAACACTTGGAATGCTCCGCTCCAGATTTCAATCTGTACCAGTAGCTTTTAGTCAGCGCTTTTGGACTGGAGGAGACAGAATGGATAAATCAGAGGAATCGGTACTGCATTGCATTTTTTGAAATTCAGTATCTGTTTATAATAAATTATATAACTATGTAAAAGCTAAATATGTATCAGGAGTCTTACAAACAGAATTTCTGTGGCAGGATGAGACATATGAACGGAATAATATTGCATACTTTTCTCAGGTTTGGAATGGTTTTATAAAATCTATGAGAGAGGAAGATCTCATAAGTAACAGGTTCAAATTGCTGCTTCCCTGTCATATCTTACATTATATGCCTGAATTTCAAGCTTCTGATTATATCTATTTGCGGTTAATTTTCCAGGGATAGAGATTTGCTTCTTGTCCCTTACACCTCAAGTTATGTTTCTGTCATTCAGTGGCCTCCATTCTTGCTTGCTAGTAAGGTGCGTCATATGAGTGGTTCCCTAAGGCCAAAAGTTTATTATAATTGAATGGACATGTCTTGTGCTTCCTTTCTAAATCCTTCAATATGTGATAGATTCCTATAGCTGTTGACATGGCAAAGGATTATAAGAAGGAGTATGATGCTGATTTGTTTAAAAAGATTAAAAGTGATGGGTATATGTACTCAGCAGTTGTTGAATGCTATGAGACTCTCAAGGAGATCATACTGAACCTTCTGCTAGATGACAAAGATAGGATGTAAGAAAGAAATACTTGTATAGCCTTTGTTTTCCCATTTTATTTTGTTCTTATTCGAATCTTCATGAATTTTGGGTTTCTTCTATGTATGAGACAGGGTTGTAAACAGGATATGTGAGGAAGTAGAACAGTGCATAAATGAAGAAAAATTTGTCAAGAAATTCAAGATGAGTGGCTTGCCCTCACTCAGTGAGAAGTTGGAGAAATTCTTAACTCTGCTGGTAGGTGTTTTCCATCATGCTTCAGTTTCTTCTTGTAAGGCTTATTCAGGTCTTATAACAATTGATTTCTTTTCCCCTTTCCACTGGCAGCGATCTGAAGATGCCAAACTAGAGCCCCAGATAGTCAATGTCCTGCAAGATATTGTAGAAATTATCATACAGGATGTTATGGATGAGGGCCATCTGTATGTTTGAAACATCGAATGGGAATTTGGCGTATCTTTTTTTTTTTTCTTGAATCAACTCCCTATAAAAAGGTATTGCTTTATGATATTAGCTTGGTTCTGCTTTCTCCAGATTTCTGCAAACACCTCAGCACCAATATCATGTAGAGAGAGGACAAATGTTTGTCAGCATTGACACTTCTTTTACACACAATAAAGAAGTGAGGGAGAAGGTAGTCTTGACAATTATACTTATGTGAACACATTACATTATTTCTTTTTGAATGTGCTGTTGCTTATGATTCTCTGCTTCTTCTCTGTAGGTTATTAGGCTTCATTTGCTTTTAACAGTCAAGGAATCAGCCATAAATGTGCCGCAAAATCTGGAAGCCCGGCGCCGTATTACTTTCTTTGCAAACTCCTTATTTATGAATATGCCAAAGGCTCCCAAAGTCCGGGACATGTTGTCCTTCAGGTTAGTCATTGCGATAGACTAATAAATTGAAAGGAAAGGGCAAAACGAATGAATATTGAATAATGTGAAGGATACACTCATCAATGGTTTTACATGACGCAACTCCTCACGCAAGAACCCTTTAACCTTGAAGCATGGACAAATGCATTAGTCTACTCTACCTTGTGTTGAAATACAACTTTATATTAGAACAATGAGGACAGCAAGAATCAAACGCCTGACCCCTTGGTCGTAGAGACTAATACCATGTCAAAGGTGGTTTTAGGTAGAATAAAATGTATTATACTGGGAGAAATTTATAGCAACAAAAATTATATTGCCCAACTATCTGAAATTGGTCCTTGTAATGTGACCAACATAAATATTCTTCACTATTTATTCTAATAATGCAAAATTTGTTAACATAAATGTTAATATCCTAACAATTTTCCTGTGTACTACCGTGATATGTAACTTATCCAAGTTTTGTTTCAGTGTTCTGACGCCATATTACAGAGAAAATGTTCTATATTCTACTGAGGAACTGCATCTAGAAAATGAAGATGGAATAACAATTTTATTCTACCTCACCAAGATATATCCTGGTGAGTATTTTTAAATGGTTACCTCTTTTCTGCTCCTCTTTAGTACATGTGCACACATTTTACTTTCTAACATTAATGCACTGTAGATGAATGGACCAATTTACATGAACGCATTGCAAGTGATCGTCTTGAAGATGATAGGGAGGAGTTAATTTGCCAATGGGCATCTTACAGAGGGCAGACACTCTATCGAACAGGTCTTGATCATAAAAAGTAGTATTTTCATTTCTAGATATGTTTGTGTATGCATATGCATACATACGTACACACGCACACACAAATATAATTGAAGCATGGATACTTCATATTTTCAAATGCTTCGAACATGTACTTATCAAATATTTTTTGCTTAATTGCATTTTTTGTCATGTGCAATTTTAATCCCCTAATTTTTTTGAGATAATTAAGTCCCTCTACTTTTAAAATTTTACAAATTTAGTTCCTTTGCCAATTTTCTTCTACCTAAAACACTCAAATTCTCATTTTTTTTACTCAAAATCTTAATGAACTGAATCAATTAAATTGTTTTAAACCTTCTTTTCCTCAAAACACATCAATCCAAACATCAAATTTCAGTCAAATAAAATAATTTTTTCCTTCCCTAGACCCTAATCTTATGTCTTAAAAATTTCTTCAAATATTTTTAAAATTTCACTAATGTTTTTAAAATTTCACTAATGTTTTTACTTTTAAACATCTAAAACTATTTCATATAATAAATTTCTTATGAACCCTCAAATAATTGGATAGAAAATAATAATTTGAAGGTTTTAAGTAGAATAAAATAAATTGAGGAACCAAATTTGCACAATTTTAAAAGTAAAGGGACTTAATTAGCTGGAAAAATTTAGGGGAACCAAAATTGCTCATAGACAAAATTAAGGGAATAAAAATGCAATTAAACTAATTTTTTAAAAATAAAATTTTATGAGGCATGAGTAGACTATAATGAGACTAGGTGAAGTATAGCCAGTTAAGTATTCAGTGCTCGCTAGACATCTTTTCTCCCCAAAACAATGATAATTTTTCAGGTAAATTTAGGGATTATTTTCCCATTTTTCTTTCTCTATTTAATCAAAGCTATTCATCTTTGTTTATGAGATATGTGTTTGTTAAATTCTTTTAATATAGATATTTTCACAAAATCTACAGGTTTTTTTATATTCTTTGTTTCTATTATTTGAAAATTATATGGGAGTAGCCTTACCTTTTAATTTTAAAAATTTTTCATATTTTGTACCCGTACTTGGTATCACTACCTTACTACTATTCATGTGCAACATATATATATATATATATGGGGAAGGAATCAAATTGCACTTCTTACAGTGTTAATAACTTAATATAGAATATATTTTTTATCAATCCAACTTTGGAATTATAATTACATATTACCTTAATTATCTGTGTCAAATTTTATTAAAATTGAACAACTATAAGATTGTAATAAAAGAGTTCTTATTTTCATATATTTCAAAAGTTTATATTAAATTAACTTAGATGTCTGTGAATAAGGTATCAAATAATTTTGAATTGGTCTAAAATTTTGTAGGTATGATTTATGTGATTGGAACTTTAAATCTAACAGTTGATTTTAAAATTAAATAATCTAATAAAAGGTTATTAAACAGTGTTAGAGTGGGTTTAACTTACACCAATGTAATCTAATTTGTTTTTTGCTAGTGAGAGGAATGATGTACTATGCCCATGCTTTGACACTTCAGTGCTTAATAGAATCTGAAGGACACAATGGTTAGTTCTTTATTTTACATACTTTGTTTCAAATTCAAATCCTGAGATATGACAAAAGCCATTCATTTAGGAATGAACCATACATTATGTCTCTTGCAGCTACATCTGAAGGCCGTCAAGCAATGGATTTCTATGACAAAAATAAGAAACCTCTTGAACATGCGCAAGCTTTGGCTGATTTGAAGTTCACCTATGTTGTTTCTTGTCAACTATACGGTACTCAGAAGAAGTCCAAAAATCTTGCAGAAAGAAACTGCTATACTAATATTCTCAATCTGATTATAACGTGAGACAATACAACAATTTTCTGAACCTTATAAAGGTCCTTCTATATTGTAAAATAACAATGGGTTTGACAATGGACAAATGGAACATTCCATGCAGGAATCCATCCCTTCGAGTTGCTTACATAGATGAAACAGAAGAGACAAAGGATGGAAAATCTCAAAAAGTTTATTTCTCTGTTCTTGTCAAGGGAGGAGATAAGTATGATGAGGTATGGAAAAAAATTATTATTCAATGTTTTGTGTTTCCCATAATATCATATCATATCATATCTTAAAATATTTAGAATATCTTAGAAATTATCTCAGAATTAGATTTCCTATTTTTTTCTTGATGATGTTTCCTAGTATTGTATGATTTGTTACCTTGTTTAATTAAAACTAATTATATAAATAAGGGTTAGTACTTTATATATTATCATCAAATTGCGACACAACACATCAAATCAAGTCAATATCAATTTCGTTGTATTTTGTCTTTATTCTTTCCCTTTATACGTTAAACACCATAATTTGAAGATAGTAAATTCTGCTTTAGCCATATTTACTAAAATAGGTTATAAATGAAGTTTTAGTTTTGTATGCTTTTTTTTCTAAATCATGCCAGCCACTCACCATCTAGGAAAGTCTTCTCTGAAAGCTGATAATATGTGATTAGTCATTGCAAAAATGGGAATGTAATGGATCCAAAATTTCTCCAGATAATGGATATTAATTGATTGAATAATGTTTCATTCATGGAAAGACAAATGATGCATGTAGCATGTGACTAACACGTGCTGGTGAGGTTTTTCAGTTTGACTGGTGGATTAGTGTCCTGAATTGATCGAAGATTGCTATTAAATGAATCACATTAGGTAGAAGGTATTAGTCACTGCTGACAATGGACAAAGCTGGTGAGACTCTCCTAGGTTTCTTCCAAGCTTTGGAATCTGGGTTCCATGTTAACAGAAAGAGATAATCCAATTTGACAGAGAATGGAATGCTTGACTTTTGCAGTTACTGCTATTTTGTTTTTAGTATCAACTTCTATTATTGTAAAGAAAAGATTGCTTTACAAGATATCCTGCAGTAACAGTAAGAAGAAGTCTAACTATATACAAAGGAATAATTTACCTCATGCTTCCAACGGTAAATAATCACTTATTTAACAATGGAGAAGCCAATAGGGAGCATATACTTGAGGTGAAACATAAAGGAACATACAAAAGATCTGATACAAACACTACTATAGTAATCCTAGAGTGTAAAAATTATAAGAACAATGAGCATAGGATGTGATGCACAGCAATCTTCATGATATATTTCTTATTTCTTATTACTGATGTTCCAAGTGATAATGTTGCATTACTAGGAAATATATCGCATCAAGCTTCCTGGTCCACCAACAGAAATTGGTGAAGGGAAACCTGAAAACCAAAATCATGCCATTATATTTACTCGTGGGGAAGCCTTGCAGACCATAGACATGAATCAGGTAAGTTTTCCTTTGACTTCAATTTAATATGAATTAAGTAGTACCATCAGTACAACTCAATGCTCTTAATTTTAATTATTTTTGTTAAGGATAATTATTTTGAAGAAGCTTTCAAAATGAGAAATGTATTGGAAGAATTCCGGAAAGGACATAGTGGGCAGCGGAAACCAACCATATTGGGTCTAAGGGAGCATATATTTACTGGAAGGTCTGCCTTGTGATAATATCCAGTATTAAATTTTATTTAAATAAATTATATCTTGACCAAGAAAATATATATTGCTATCGTCAAACTTTAAACAGCGCCATTTATATATGCTTACATGTTTCTTATTTTGCAGTGTTTCATCACTTGCTTGGTTTATGTCCAACCAGGAGACCAGCTTTGTGACCATTGGCCAACGAATTTTGGCAAATCCTTTAAGGTTAGTCCCACATTGTTTACTGATACTGCAAGTATTATGATAAATTAATAAATCCCTTGGGATTTTCACCCTATTTTCACACTTAATCATTTTTTGACTGTATTTCCTGTTTTGTTTCTTCCATTTGATCATTTGAATTAATGGTGACCGGTAGTTACAAGTATGTATTGGTAAATGTTCAAGAAAGTGTTGTGTTTATTTTAAATCTACTTACTTCCCCACCCAAAATACCTGTAGACTTGAAACCTGAACAGAGAACAGATTTATCACTACTTTGTGATCACATGCATCTTGTAATCCACATTCCTGAATTTGCAGGGTTCGATTTCATTATGGTCATCCCGATATATTTGACAGAATCTTCCACATAACAAGAGGAGGAATAAGTAAAGCATCAAAAGTTATAAACTTAAGTGAGGATATATTTGCAGGTACTAAAGGATTGAGTAGAATATGTCTATATGTTGGATGAAATTTTCTACTATTTGTACTAAACAACCATAGTCAATTCAACAATACATCAAGGATTTATGTGGATGAAAATTTTCTGCTAACTGTGCTTAACATCCATAGGGTTCAATTCAACTCTACGACAAGGATTTATCACTCATCATGAATACATACAAGTAGGTAAGGGGCGAGATGTGGGCATGAATCAGATATCACAGTTTGAGGCTAAGGTTGCAAATGGAAATGGAGAACAAACTCTTAGCCGTGATGTTTATCGACTTGGACGACGATTTGATTTCTACAGAATGTTGTCATTCTACTTCACAACAGTAGGTTTCTACTTCAGTAGCATGGTAAGTAATCAAATTTCATTGAGGTTCTTTTCTTGATAGTTTATGTTATTATGAATTGCACATTAACTTGGAGTATATGGTGCTTTTCCAATATAGAAATAACTTTTGTTGCATACACTTCCAGTAAAGAACAAAACAAAAATGAACATAAGTCATTCGGATATGCAGCTTATTTAAATGTTTATTCAATAAACCTTTTCTAAACCATGGCTTATACCATACATTTAACAATAAATTTTATTGAGATAAGCTGAAAACAACTTATTTGGATAAGCTACACCAAGAAGCTTACTGAAATAAGCTGAAAAAAGTTTATGGGAGTCATAAACTATTTTCTATAGGTGGTACTTTTGTTGGGTACAATGGGTTTACGCTAACGTTTGTATTTGGATGTAATGAATTTTTCAGATAACTGTGTTGACTGTGTATGTGTTCTTGTATGGACGCTTATATATGGTGTTGAGTGGAGTTGAGAGAGAAATCCTTCAAAGTCCAAACATACATCAGAGCAGAGCCCTTGAACAGGCCTTGGCAACTCAGTCTCTTGTTCAGTTGGGCATACTGCTTGTGCTGCCTATGGTTATGGAAATTGGCTTGGAGAAGGGATTTCGCACTGCTTTGGGTGACTTTATCATCATGCAGCTGCAGCTAGCCTCCGTGTTCTTTACTTTCCAGCTTGGAACAAAAGCTCATTATTTCGGGAGAACCATCTTACATGGAGGCTCTAAGTATAGACCAACCGGTCGTGGATTTGTTGTCTTCCATGCAAAGTTTGCTGATAACTACAGAATGTACTCACGAAGTCATTTTGTGAAGGGCCTAGAGATACTCATATTATTGATTGTTTATGAAGTCTATGGGGAGTCATATCGGCCCCCACATCTTTATTTATTCATCACAATCTCAATGTGGTTTTTGGCCACTTCCTGGTTGTTTGCTCCTTTCTTGTTTAATCCTTCCGGTTTTGATTGGCAAAAAACAGTGGACGATTGGACAGATTGGAAGCGGTGGATGGGAAACCGTGGTGGTATTGGTATTCCATCTGATAAAAGCTGGGAATCTTGGTGGGATGAAGAAAATGAACACCTGAAAGTTTCAAATATCAGGGGAAAAATACTTGAGATAATTCTTGCGTTTCGCTTCTTTATGTACCAATATGGAATTGTTTACCACATGGATATTACTCATCATAACAAAGAATTTCTGGTAGAGCAACTCATTTTTTTATTCTCCTATCCTATAAATGGTTTCAAATTTTATGGCACCCCCTTATTACCTTCTGTTTTCCTTGTAGGTATTTGGACTTTCTTGGGGTGTTTTAATAATAATCCTTATTGTCTTGAAGGTATGTAGATGATACATGGGGATCAAGAGTGACTTCCAATAAAACCATTATTGCACAAATTTAAGACTAATTAATTGTTGATACAAAACTACTATTAAGTGAAATTTTGTTTCTAGTTCAAATCTTAGCATAACACATTTCTTTCCAATCAAACAAGGGGAGCAATTAGACCATTGTACAGTTAAAATCATTTCATATTTATGATAGTAATGCCTTTGTCTTCTTCTGTTTGTATGAATTCCACATGGGCATTTCAGATGGTATCCATGGGTAGACGAAGATTTGGCACTGACTTTCAGCTCATGTTTCGTATTCTCAAGGCACTTCTCTTTCTTGGCTTCTTGTCAGTCATGACTGTATTATTTGTGGTATGTGGACTTACAATATCAGATTTGTTTGCGGCCATTCTTGCCTTCATGCCCTCTGGATGGGCCATTATTCTGGTAAGTGAAAACTTCTGCATGTTAGAGAAGAACTAGTAAGAACACCTTTTGCTCTTTTTGACAACTTGCTAATGTCTCACATGTCTTAGGCAGATTGCCGAAAAATTGTCATATACGCCTTTTGATCCATTTTTTTTATAAGGCACATTCATGAAGGTTTTTGTGTTTCTTTTTATACGATCCTATAGTTTCTATGAAGCATTTATAATGTTTTTCCCATTTGTCCTTAATAAATAAAGTTGGTGCGAACCTAAATTAAAGTCAACATGAGTAAATTTTGATAGTGGGGTTAAGTTGATGATATTAAATAAGGGTAAAATTTATCATGTCATAATATTTTTCAAAAAATCAAGGAAATCAACTAACTTTAACCACTTTTATTGGTTTGTGTAATTTAGTTGAAGATGCCTTATAAAAAGGACCAAATGGAGTATTTTGTACATGTACACCATCCTAGACAATTTTGTATGCAAGTACTTATTTCATGCAAAAACCCTGATGTTCCTTCTTTCTTTTGCTTTCAAGATTGCACAAGCATGCAAGGTATGCTTGAAAGGAGCTAGACTATGGGACTCAGTGAAAGAACTAGCTAGAGCTTATGAATATGTAATGGGATTAATAATCTTCTTGCCAACAGCCATTTTGTCATGGTTCCCTTTTGTGTCAGAGTTCCAAACCCGGTTGCTATTCAATCAAGCATTTAGTAGAGGGCTCCAGATTTCAATGATTCTTGCTGGAAAGAAGGAGAAGGACACTTTTAAATCTGATTGACATATATTATTAAGTTGCTAAGGTAATTTTGCATTTACTATACATTGATGTTATTTTTGTATCTTGCTTTTCAAAGAAGTGATACTCTTTTGCTTTGCTCACTGATTCCATATCTTTACAAACGCTGGCAGGAATTTCAAGTTCAGTCCAGGATAAATTAGTCTCTTACATACCAGAATTTTTTGGAAGTTCTTATGATTCCTTTTTCCTTTTCATACTAAATTTTGCTGACTGAGAATAGGAATGACAACTGAATATCCAAAATCAGGGCAATAACTATAGCAGGACTTTCTTTTACATTTTGAAATTGCATAGTTGTATCAACACTGTATATGTATGAGTTAAGGGATGATCTTTATTTATTATCTACCATATATAGGGGATTCAGAGGAAGAAATCATTATTACTCATTACAATTTAATTTAATTAGGAATTTTTAAAATATGTATATGTTAAGTTTAAAGTTAGTTGACATTCAGTTTAAATTTTAAAGCAGCTAGCTTAATTTCCTGTATTATGCTCGGTTTAACAATCATTTTACCTCACCAAAAATCCTTAATATAAAATATAGGTGATAAAAATTCTTCACAAACAACATGAACTAAACACACATCTTCAACTACCTACATTTTATATGCATACAAACGTATTACCAAACCAAATTTTATGTGAATAAGTACATAAAAGTTGAGTGAGAAAAAAAAAAACTATGCAAACAGGTGGGAAAAAAATAGGCAGAGAAAATGAAAATGAGCTTTGAAATTTAGTGGCAAAAGATCATTTAAATGAGTAGAAAAATCATTTAAATAGACTGAAAAAATGAAAAAAAAAAGTATTCAAATGATTAAGGAAAAAATTAATTTATTTTGAAAGTTTGAAGCATATCGTATGATATTCTTCTATGTTCACTCAAATAAAGACAAAGGTCAATGCTAGGTTTTACAAGGTTTAACTTTCTTAAACTTTGTCTCCAACATAAAAGAAAGATTCAAATTCTTTCCAATTTTAGTGCAATCATGAAGCGAATTTTGCTGAATCATCATATTCGTGCCAAAATTACAGAGACTAAATCTCACAAAAGTAGCTGTAGTTTGAGCATTAAACATTTAGTCATACACAAGAATAAACAACTCTCTCCAACTTTAAAAAAAAAATCTTTATCATAAAAAAAAATTTAAATCAATTATTTTATTTTATTTTTTATAGAAATTCTAACTAGTGTCTTTATATACTAGTTGAAAAATAAAAGTTAAATTTTTTTGCCAAACAATTAAATAAATTTTTTCCTTAACCAATGCTTTTAGGACATTAATTTGAAAGAGCCATGAAAAATAATGAAGTCTTAAACTTTTATTGATAACTTTATTTTCATTCCAACTATATTCTTTATTTATTTTATGCATTTCATTCCAACTATATTCTTTCATCTATTTTATGCATTTATCATATTTCATTGGTGAGAGACTTAGAACAATTATCCTTGTTTGATATATATTATTCTAAGTAGTAGTTGTATTTTTTTTATTTCTTTTGAAAGAAGAATAAATTACACCGAGACTTTTTTTCAAAGAATACTGAGGTTTAAAACTTGAAAATATTATAAAGAAATATTTGAGCTGTGAGGAATAAGTAATTTTGGTATATTATGAAATTGTCTTAGTAAAAATATTGATGAATTTGCCAAAAATTGAATATAATCTTGAAGTGTAGGTTAAATTAATATTAGATTTATAATAATTAACAATAAAAATATAAATTTGATTGTTAATTATTTTTTTAGTAGGATAACATATTTTTATCTAATCATAAATTGCTATATTAAAAAATAGTTATTTTATAATAATTATTTTAAAAGTTATATCTATTATATATTTTAACAAACTACAACAACTAAGTTTTATCTCAACATGTATAAAAAGTTATATTAATTATATATAAATATGAAAAGAATATATATTTATAATATTTTAAAGACTATCTTTTCTCTTGCATAGAAATTTAAATATAAATTAATTTGAAGTAAATAAAATAGTAGTCACAATTAAGATTTAATTTTATAATTAAGATTTTGATATAGAAGTTCGTGTGTACCTTGGTATTTCAAAGCTGAGTTATTATCTCTCAATTTGTTTTTTTTTATATATATTCATCTCATTTTGTTTTTAAATGATTAACCGTAACACAATTCAATTTCTCTTTTAGTATTTCATTACTGTTTTTATTTTTTCATTTATGAAACCAAAACTTCATATATAAATATTTTTCTAATCATAAATAAAAATAATAAAAACCTAAAAGATATTTATATTCTTATAATAAAAAATAAAACACATTTGAAAATATATCATAATCTTAATTCACTAAAATTAAAAAATTATATATATATATATATATAATCCAATTTTCATATAAACTCTTTGTAAGGTTTTATTTTTAAAAAAAATGCTAAAGAAATTATTTTGATATATTGTTAATTCATTATTGATGAAAACTCAATATATGATGTATAGTTTACTTATTAAATGAAATGAACTTCACTCTTAAGTTATGTTTTGATAAAGAATTTTAGATTTTTAAAAATTTATCATTAATAATGAAGAAATGTTTAAAACATAAATTATTTATAAAAATTGTGAATAATAATTATAAAAAGTTAAGTATAAAAAATTTAAATTTTTTAAAAGACATATCATTTAAAAAAAATTATACTTGGCATAAAAATTCTTTAGCTATAATTCTAAAGTATTCTAAAAATACTTTTTTTACTATCTAAATACAGATAAACTAGGAAATTAAAATTCTTCAGTCTAAAAATAACATTAATGAATTTTATTTTAATTAAAGAAATATTTGAAAAGAATTAAAAATAACATATAAAAAAGTTCATTGTACTAATAAATCATATTCTAATTCTTGATGGTTATAAATTATCAATAAATGATTTTATATAATTTAATAACATATTTTTTTAAAATTTATTTTAATAAACATTAACATTATCACCAAACTTATATTATAACTTTATGCATAATACTAATTTATTAAATAATATTAAAGTAAATTATTTATATTAAATGAAATTTTAATAAATTATGATAAATAATAAAATATATAATAAAATAAATCTTTAATATGTTATATTCTAATTTAAAAAATAGAATTCAAAATATCTATGATATAATACTTTCAGTTTTGTTTAATTTATAAATTTTACCAAATATTTTTCTAAGTAACAATTATATGGAGTAATTTTTGGATAAAATTATAAAATTAATATAAATAAACATATTAATAGTGTTAAATATTACTAATTTTAATAAAAATTTATTATATCAATTTTTTTGATACTCTGCAACGTTCGCACAAGAAAAATTGTAATAATAATGGTAATAACTCTGTAGGCATTATAGTAATTTCATTAATCACAATCTCTAGACTGGATACGCATTACTGTACTTGCAGTGTTTGGGTTCAGTTTCAAGGACCTAAAAGCTCACTCATATTTGTTGAAAGTTGAAACTGAAACTTGCCAAACGTTTACACGCGTTTTTCCTATTGGATTCAAACACTCAATCTCAGGTAATCCGCAAAACCCTCTTCTCTCCTTCCTCCAATTTCCTTCCAAATTGTTTTTTTTTTTAACTTCATAACACAAAATCCCAATTTTTTTCTTTTTTTTAGTCTTTGCAAAGTGGTGTTTTTTTTTACCCATTTTTTAGTTACTTTTTTTTTTTCTTTCATAAGTTTTTTTTTCTATTTTGAATTTATAAATTTTCTAACATAAAATTTAGCCCACTGATTTGGTTCTTTAATTATCCCTGTTGATAATTGTTATGTAGTGTTGCAGCATTTAGCCCCTTTAATAAGAAAAAAGGGGAAGTGTCAACTAGAGCAGAAGTGTGTTTTGCATTAGCAATAGAAAAACTGGGAAGAGAATCTAAGAATCAAAATGTGAAATTTGACAACTTTATGCGATGAAGGAAAAAAAAATTATCAGATAAAGTATTTGGTGAATATGTTTCTTTGTAGGGAGTGGTGAAAATTGAAAAGAAAAAGGTTCTTTTACCTTCGGATATGGGGGAAGAGAACAATTTTTGTAGCGAAGCTAATTATGTAAAGATATTGTGTGTTTTGTTCTAATTTTGTTTATGTGCATGTTTGGATTCACGCTTTAAATGTTCATGATCCACTTTTAGTTTAATGTTAGTAGTTGTAGCTGGATCCACACTAGGTTTTCAATGTATTTCCAGCACACACTGCAACTTCTGAATGGATTATGTTCCTCACACCATATAGGTTCATTGTTCTTCCTCGGCACTCCTCCTGAATATGGTGTTGCTTTTGTTGTTTTGTTTACCTCAACAGCTTAATGAAATACATAAACTTGATAGTTGGTCATGTACTGGTACATAGGCACTTGATATATTGCTATGATGCACTGACAAGCTTTTGAAAACTATCACATGCTGTAGTTTTGACAAGTTTTTTTAGTTTGTTGTGGGTATCATTTAAATTTTATGGTTTGTCAATATTTATGCTGCAGGTGGTGTTTGAATTTCGAAGTATTGTATTAATATCTCGAAACTGTGACAATGGTTTTGATAAGTGGCACCAACAAGAGGTAAATGTTAAAGTCTATCAAAGTTTATTCATTCTATTGGTTTTGATTGTTTTGTTGAAACCAGGTTTTTCATTATCAATTAGCTCTTATTCTTTTGATAGACTATTAACTTTTTTGTTTTCTCATCAAACGGAGTTACACCATTCCCAAAGCTCCGTTCACTAAAAGTAACATTTTATCAATTCTATTGAAACTCCCTTGCATTACTAAAACAAACAGGTCATATATCAATATCCCTCTATAATAGCTCATAGGACATGCCTGTCACTATGTAATACATGTGCTTACACTTTTGTATGTATGCCATGAACATTTTCCATTCAAATGTGTGTATGAGGTTGTTCCTCTATAATCCCTTTTGTTAAAAGTTATTCATTCTGTTCTGAGCGTTCTCTTCACACACCCCCCCCCCCCCCTCTCCTCCCCCTGCACCCAATTATTTATGTCGTGTGTTTATCTGATTCTTGAAACCAACAGCCATTCTTTTTTACACTTACTAATACTATTTATTTGAAAACTGGACCTTTTTGGTGAATGTTGGATTTTTCCACAGAATGTGGAGAACTTTGTCATATGTTGTCTTGGAAGTTTTGTGTGAAATAAAGAAGCCAATTTTTTATTGATAATGTCGAATTTGTTCTGTTGTCTAATGTTTATTGCTCTATGGTTGGAGAATAATTCTTGAATTTTGAAGGATAAATTATTGTGGTTTCCTTTTGAATGGACTAAAGTTATCTTATAAACTTCTTTCTGGTTCTCAGATCAGATTATGGTTATTTTGGAGAACTTTCTTTCTCGGATAAATAGCGCAAATGCAAAGCTTCACTTATCTGATGTGTTTTCTTGTTTGCCTTTTTCTGTTCCTTTTTGGGTTATCATAACCTCTGTTCTTACACATCTTTCTCCCTATCAAATTTCTTGTTTTCATTAAAATTGAATATGTATTGCTAATTATTCCTATGCTATGCTCTTTTTTATTATTGTTTGATTGTTAAGTCATTTAAAAAAGTTTACAATGTGTGAATGTTAAATGTATTCAACTACTGATTGGGTTGTAGCTTGGGTTGTATTGAGTAAATGGTTAGGTTATCTACATGAAATTCCCTTAGAAGCATTGTTTGATTCTGATCTTTGATGTCAAATTATTGTTAAGATTTCTCTTGAAGTTTCCCAAGGCATTTCCAATATTTTGAAACAAATTTGAAAATTTTATACATTAGAACTTGGTTGTGTATTTAGTGGAAACTTCCGGGCACATGCAGTATAGACTAATAATAGGAATGAACTCTCTAACCTTCCTGGTTATCCTTTATAACAAGTGTATGTTAATGTGATCTTTGACTGCAGTGTTTTGCAACAAACACATGATGAGAGGACCAAAGCACAAGGTATCACAGTGCTTCAGAATTCACATCAGCAAGGAAACAAGAGTGTTGAAAGTGGGCGTGCACAGAATTTGGGCAACACAGGGTTGACCAAAGCAATGACAACAATGGATGAATTCAAGTGTGGATTTCCATCAGAAGGCTTATCAACTACTTCAAATAAATGGTGGGGAAGTAGAGATCATGATGATTGTGCAGGCACCAATGGAGATGGATCTAAGAATCAACTTGAAGAACAAGCCGGAGATCCAGACAAGGTGGCATGTGAAACTGAAAAGGTTGAAAATAGTGAAACTCCTTATGGTTCATCTTTATTGACAGCTGTGAGGAAAAGTGCCGTGGAAGAAGGAAGAGAAGCATTTAAAGTAGGAGTTTTTCGAGGCTATGGTGTAAACAAGCTAAGCAAAAGGGAGAAAATATTGCTCCACCAAATATTCAGATCTTCTTTGCCAAGGTCATGGATACATGATTAGTAGTTTAGAGCCACTGTAATTCGGCATGGCTCAACTCTAGTTCTAATTGCTGCATTGAATGCTTTACGTCTTCATGAGAGTTTCTTCTTTTTTCTGATTGCTATGGTTTTAAGACTGGTAAGTCGCTGGGTCTGGTGTGTGGTGATAGTGACATGTGACTCTTATTCACCTCATGATTTCTCTTTGTGAGAAGGTTGCTGATAGTGCAATGAGAGAACCAAGACGAGCAATTAGATAAGGCTTGAATAGAATCAGTTACATGATTTGCTTTCTTCTGGCTGTGGACAAGCCTTTATTGATAATGAATTGTTTAACATTATGTTGAAGAGTACAGAACTTTTAGCACATTTTATAAGGAGCTTATGAAAATAATTTGACTTTTTAAAGCTTTTTTAGCTTATTTTAATACATTTTATAAAAAAAAATTATTATATATGCTTTCTATAAAATAAGTTTATTGAATAAACGTTTAATAACTGCATTCTTAATCAATATTGTCTTTTGCAAGTCGACAAAGTTGAACCTTGAGGAACTTTTTTTCTGTAAGTGCCCAGGATGTAGAAAACAATCATGGGAGGGACTGAAAGTGAATAAATATTTAAGCAAAATATTAATTTGGTCCTAAAGCAGCTTTTTTATTTAAATAATATTTTTTTAAAACTAATTCCGAAAATAGGATAAGTTTAACACTATTTCCTATATCAACGCTCTATGCTGTCAGTACCCGTCTTCTCGATCCTCTATGGGTGATCTAGTAATGTACATATACAAAAAAGTTATTAATATATGGATAGTAGTTTATTTTATAATTTCTAGTATTCTGGTAGTTGTTAAATAAATAATAAATTTTATGAAAGTGTAATGAAAAATAATTTGAAAAGAAAAAAAATAGAAATTATGTAAAACACATCAGAGTAGTAATTGTTTATATTTTTATGAGTATTTAATTGTATATGTGAATAATTGATAAATAAGTCATTCTTATAAATAATAGTTAAAGAGTAATTATGGAGGACGTTAATTATGTAAATAAATTTGTTCAATTATCTGTTTGTTTGATATCAAATTTTGATGATTTAGGACAAATTTGTGACATACACATAACTAAATAAATATGTTGTATGTGAATTTAATTTGTTGATATATGATGACTGATTTTATGATTATTATATATTAAAATAATCAAATATTTTTAAGTAATAAAAAAATTATCTTTAAAGAAAATAATAAAATGATTAAGATTGAGCGTGAAATAAGTTTTGAGTCATTGAAAAGAATAATTTATAAAAAATTAAAATCATCTACTAATAAAGTTATATCTAAATTGATTTTATGATTTTTATACATAATTATGAATAAATGTGATAATAAAGATATCAATTGCATTTTAAGTACTTTTTAATTAATATATATTTTTCTCTTATTATTAATGCAATTTAACGTCACTTTTAATAAAAATTTGTCATTTTTAATTCTTTAACCACTGTCTTAATAATACTTGTTAGCAAAACTGAATAAATAATTAAATTTTAAAATATTATATTTCTTATTTTAATTCTATAAAAAATTATTTAATTTTACTCTCTATGTTTAATAGAGAAAAATGTTATCTTAATTTTTATTGAGAATTAAAATTACTTTTTTTTTGTATTTTTATAGACCAAAATTAAATAAAAATATTATAGAGATTAAAACTAAAGGTTTGATATCAAACATGATGAAGGTCTAATTTAGGTAAGTTTATAAAAAAAAGTACTTATAGAAAAAAATTAATATAAAAAATAATGATTTTAAAAGTTAAAATTAATTTATATTTTTAAATTTTAAAGAATATAAATAAAAAAAGCATAAATATTTTTTATTGGTAAAAAATATATTTATTTTTTATTTATATCAATATTTATTGAAAATTTTATTTAAATTAGACTTAATATATAAAGGCATTAGGTGTTACCATATGTGCTTTGGTTTTCAACAAAGGAAACGGACGTTTGACCAGAATATTAACAATTTGTTGTTTTTCACAAAAACGGTAGTTTGGAACATAAGTTGATGAATTTAATTTATACAATACTTTTGACTAGAGGAGGCATGTGTATTAATTTTAAGATTTTACTAACTTTAATTTCAAGGTTGAGTTTAACTATTTAAAAATAATTTTTTTTATTAAACAATATTTATTATATTAAAAAAATACTTTTAAATACCTAAATTCAACTCTTAAAATTAAAATTAAAATTAAATTAATAAAATCATTAATTTTATGCATGTGTTTCAAGAGTTGGGTTTCAAGTAAACAGGTGCACAATTAAAAGCATCCATCATTGCTAATTTGCAAGGAAGAATACTATCAACACATGATGCATACATTATTTTAATTTATAATACATTTTTCATAATTAGCTAAAATTCATATGAAAACTATATATTAAATTATAGGGTTTCACATCTCATTAGTGAAATCAAATGAAACTCACCCAACATTATGTGTTGGAATATGCTAAATAACACAGTGACACCAAAATAAGGCTCTGACTCTTCATTGTTAATTTTGCCTAATTAGATGGAAGAAACTATCTCAAAACCTTGGAGAGTCTTTGCAAAAATTTTGTATATCCTCTTATATTTTAATCATGTGGATATTTTTTATTTTAATTGATTATTTTTTATATTTAAAAGTATCCACATATAGTAGTGCTTGTGTGTATAATTATATGATTAAAATTTATTTTTTTATTCATAAAATTAATTTTATTATTATGTATAATTATATATATATATATATATATAATGAATATGGTCATGCAACTATATATTAAAATAAAGTAATATAATAATGTATTAAAGATTATATATATATATATATATATATTTTTTTTAAGAAATATTTTAGTTTCTCACTCTAATCTGACTAATAAAGAGACTTACATGTGTTAATTTTTTTTTTTAAGCCATGTCAATAAAATGGACTAAAACAACAAAAAGATTTTGACTGACTAAAATAAAAATAAAAAAAATATAAAAACCAAAACATATTTAAACAACATACTACCTCTAGTATTATTATAAATTATTATTATTATTATTATTATTATTATTATTATTATTATTATGTGTAAATCATAAGAAAAAAGTTTCATTTTAAATATATTAATATTAATCATTTTATATTTTTATTTATTATAAGATATGTCTTAGCAAGAGATTCCATTTAAGTGAACACATTTATTCATTTAATATATAAGATACTAATTTGATACCATGAATAATTTGAAACATACAACTATATTTATTTTCTTAATGAATTAAGAATTTATATTTTATAAATAAGATTGAAAGTGGCATTAATTAACTTTTAAACTATAAAAAACTTGCAACCTTAATTTATTTCATAGAACAATATACATAATGATTAATAATTTAATGAAATCTCACACTTGCTATATATATATATATAAAGAACGCACGAATGGGGAAAGAAATAGATATACTTTGATAGATATGAAGATATGTTATTGAATATGAGGCAAAGGGGACCCATGTGCGTCATGTTAACAAGTTATCCATATTAGACACAGAGAATGAAAATGATGTAATGTGACATTGATGTGTGTGTAGTTATACTTCTTTTGCAAGTTCAAGGTGGCAGCATGTGGATTTTGTAGAAAACCCAAAAGGGAATATAGACTATGGAATTTCATACCCATTTTTTTTTCTATTTTTTTAATTATAGTTTTTTAATGTGTTATCACATTATTTCTGTCCTTGTGTGAAGCAAGGAGACATTAATCCACCATCTAATGCACAATGCATTTTTAATTGCCAATAATGGTAGTACTGATCAACCATGTAAAAGTAGCTGCAAAATATGTTATGGCCTGTATTATTGGTAAGGAATCAAAAGTTGCAAAATGTTTGTGTATAGCCCTTAAATGGCTAGCCAAGAGGGATACACTTTAACACTCACGTGATGTGCACATGATGCATGTGAAGTGCACTACAAGTTCATATGTCATATGATGTTTGGAATTTTTCAGACCTGTGACATCTTAGCTTAATTGGGTTTGAATTTTTTAAGTTCAATATGTGTGCCTGTTTCCCACTTTTGATTTGTTTTGTTTCATTTTCATCTTAGTATAAAATTTTGTTTGTATAATTAGAAATAATATTTTGCTTGCTTTTGGATAATTGCTAATGAAAGTTTGTTTTTTCTTAGCATAGAAATGGGAATGACCATAATTATTTGGAAATATGTTAATGGATCAACAAAGATTACAACATAAAAAAATGTTAAGATTTTTATATTAATTAAAAATATAATTCTTACAAACTTTTTAAGTAGTTTTATTTCTTTGAGTTAAAGCTTATTTGCAAAGATTAATCACCTCTTTTAATGCTATAATTTGTTGATGACTTAATTATGACAATATCTTATATTAGTACTCCCCTACTTAGATCATTAGAAAAGTCAGTTAAAAATTCAATTTAAGAGCTGACAAGTAACTAATTGGTTAATTAAATAAGTAGAAATGAATTATGAATTGATCAATCTATATATAACCCATAATTCGATTCGTCTTATACTTCATTAATTAATTGTAACATGGTTGCAACTCAATCAACTAACTAGAATTATATTAAAAAAATTGGCCAAATCTAAATATAAAAATTAGGGATAGAATAATCCCTATTGAAAAAAAAAAACAGAAGAAAATAAGATCCTCCCTCATTCATGTTAAGGGATTTAATTACACATGATAGAAATAAGATCCAAAGCAATACCAATTTCCATTATAATCAAAGAAAAGAGAGTTAAGAAAGCATTGGCTAAGTCTTCCTCTTTTGAGAATCCTAGTATCACATGCTATGCACATTCCTCCCCTCCAAGGGAGTCTTGCATAGAGTTCATTAGGGAAAATAAATTAAGAATGTGTCCCTTCATGGTAACTAAGTAACTCCAATCCCTCTATCTAAGGATATAGCCATGGCAACAACAAAAAAAGGATATAGGCAAATAATCAATACCCAAAAACAAAATAACCCAAAAATTTCCAATTTCTTCAATAACTAATAAGTTAGCTTAGTGCATGCACTAGATAATCATAACAAAAACAAAGCACATGGGTAAATGGAAAGAAATAAATTGCTAGACACAAGATAAAGAAGGAACACTTGGTGCAATGGGTGGGTGGAATTGACATGATGCATTATATCAATGTCTTCATGTTCAAATAGTGTTGCACATAACCATTATGTATAACATAAGGAATTTTGAGACCCTCCACCTTTAACTTGTGCCATTCACTCATGATATGTAACACATTAAGGTTATGATACGTGGCAAGTGCTTAATTATTATCCATTTTTGTTGTGTCAGAGATATTTTGCCTTACATGAATGAGCAACATATGTAATTACTTTGCTTTAAAGAACTAGATTATTTTTTATTTATGTTTTTCCTATATTTTTTAATTTTAAATTCAATCAAAAGAAAGATTTCATTTTGTCTTGCATTTTTATATGACACTATTGCAAATTGCTTGTTTTCAAGGGTTGTGAGCGGCACACTTTGTTGGTTTATAGTAATTTGTAGAGTAAATTACAAAACTAAAAGAAACTCAATGTCAATCATTAAACCTTACCATTTTTATTTTATTTAAGGGAAAACAATTACACCTAACCTTGTGACATTAATATACTGATTAGAGTTTTTATTTTTCAAAACTTTGTGATGTTGATATCGGCAAAAAGACTCGTACTCTTTCTTATCAAAATAAAAGAAAAATAAATGAAAATTTTCTTAAAATTTAGAGCAAATTACTTAATTTTTTTTAAATGTATCAAATTAATTGGTAAAGATGAAGTTACTTAAATTTTTCAGATCAATTATATTTAGGTGATTTTTACGATAAACCACCAAATTATATGTTTCATTAGTGCATCACAAAAATGACCATTGTATTGAACTTAAAATTAATAAATGGTTAAATATTTTCACTTAGTTAAGATCTATAACTCTAAAATTTACTAATTGATTCCTTAATATACTTTGCTACCAGTTGAATTTTGTTTATAGACAAAACTTAGGTGTGGTAGTATAAGTAATATTAATATAAATTTTTAATTAAAATTTTACTTTAATTTGTATAATAAAAATTAACATTAAAATAAAAAATAGGATATTGTCTTTTTATTTAATTTTTTAAAAAATATTTTTTCTTTCATGACCGTATTATTAATAAAAGTATTTAAACAATTTATTTAAATAAAAGTGAAAATAAACATGTGAGAGTGACAATAAATATTCTTTTATCATACTTTTTTTTTAAAATGTTTGCTTTATAGCTTATTTCACTATTAAAGATTATACAACAAAAAAATTATTGTTTATCAATATAATATAAACTAATAGTTATCACTATACACTCAATTATTTTAATTATTTATTAATTTTAAATTTTAAATTTGCTATAAGAAAATGTACTAGATTCAAAAGTTTGAGCTGTGCATGTATCTCACAAATGTGGACAAGAGATCTCTGGCAAATTTGGGCATAAACAAAGTTTTGATTCCTGTGACAGTAAAGATGATTAAGATATTAATCTAAATATTTTGTAATTAATTTGAAGAAAGAGAAGGAAAGTTGGAATGGTTTTGTCAGGTCATACTTTAATCAAAAGTTATGCTTCAAATCAAAGTCTCTGTTTCTTCCTCTATTGGTGGCTTTTTGTAGCTCCAAAGCCATCATTATACTCACAAAAAGGTTAAATTGTTTAATCCAAACTTGCAATTATTTCTGAGGTCTGAAAAGATTAGGTTTTGTCAAACCATATTGACATAATTACCCCTCTGAACCGTTGGAATTTTAAATTCCTGCCCCCATAGTCAAAGATTCTGCCATCGTACTATACACTATTTAGAAGGTATATGAATAGTTAAAATTATTTTAACTAATTGTGATTAAGATATATTTAGTGAAATATGGGAGTTAATTTAAAAGTTAGATGTTATCGATTAACAAAATCGTTTTCTTTCCTTTCTTTCCATTTAGAGTATTGGTAGTAACAAAAAAAATTCAACACAAAATTCTTACAGTTGCTGTTTTGTATTTTTTTTATTCTCTTCTTTTATTTATGATCTTAAAATGTCCATATGTTAATTGCATTCATTTTTTGGGCTACGCTAACTATTTTTATAAAATTAATTTTAGTTAAAAACATGTTTGGAGTAAAGTGATTTATGTTTAATGTTTTTTTTTTTAAAATACAGTGACAATGGAATAATTATTTGAACTGTGACAATGGAATATAATAACTTAACAAGATAAAATTATCATATCTTATTAAACAATAAATATTAAAAATAAAATATAAATAAATTAAAGTAGTTGAATATGTTATAAGTAATTTTTCCTTTTTTTTAATTTATTTCTTACCTTTTGAAGTTATTAGATATTTTCTATTTTTACTCAAAACAAAGTGAGAATTCTATGTCCTGGTTAACGAAACAATTACCACTTTATTAAACAAATGGTTTTAATGCCAGTTTTGGAAAATAATTAGATGCAGATATCCAAACTGATGCCGGATATACTTTAATTAATATTAATTAACAAAGTACATAATACACGATCTCTACTTAATTACAATTAAGGCTTAGGATGCTTGGAATATTTATATGACATAAATGATCAAAATATTATTCCAATAAAAAGCATATTTTAAACTTGATTTTAATTCATCAATTAACTACGGATAAAATATTAGAATACCTTTCAAGTAGTGATAAACTTTTGATTAGTTAAAAATTATATTCCAGTTAATGCATTATTAAATACCAAGCCTCAAAGCTGCAAACTAGAAAACAAACACGTTGTAGCACAACGAAATCTGTGGGTACCAACATAATTATACTTATCAATTACCTAAATTCTCATTGTCTTTTAAATTAAATTATTGTTAATTTGGGTTCCCATTGGTTAACTCACATTTCATGATCACAGATACAATTATTCAATTTGGGTTTATACAACCTTAATGAGTCGAATATGTCATATGTGTGTGTTTTTTTAATACAAGACCATGTGCAAATGAATGATGAACCTAGGTAATGCTTAAGCCTGCAAAGGTTGCAGTGCCATCACATTCAGTAGTAGGAAACAATCTGAAAATGTTCCCTCACTGGAATTTGCGATCTGCAAGAAACCAAAACAAAATGTTAATGCCAGCAACAATTCCAAAAATGTCAACATTTTCTGTGACCCTTTGAGGATTATGGGGTGTCCAAAACCAAAATTCCTGTGTCAATTGCATAAACATTATTCTGCAGAGACAAATTAAGAATCAAGACAAACAAGTTAGCCGAATTGAGTAGGATAATATTGCATATCTAAACTTGTTTTAAAGTCTTCTATTATTTTCCATAAAAAAATGGTTTTATTTATTTTTTGGGTTTAGATATAATTTTTAATCTTTACAAATATGACAAAATTTAGTTTTAACCTTCTAATTTTTTCATTGATTAAATTTTCATAAATTTAAAAATAAATCTCATATTATTTGATAATTATATATATGTATTTAAACTGGTGACGTTAATAATTACTTCAAAATTTTTTATATATATATATATATATATATATATATATATATATATATATAGGATTTTATCACCAATTTATACATAGAATTATTTTTTAAAATTTTTTAATTCTTAAATGTTAAAAAACTAGGATTTTTTTTAGAAAGATAAAATATCATCATATTTATAAAAAATAAAACATATTTTATTCCATATTTTGTCTAAATATATCTTAAATTGAAAGTGACTTTTATGATAAATTATCAAATTACGCAATAAATATTTAATTATGCATTAAATTTTCAGGTGAATATAAAAGCTAATGCACATAATGTAAACAAACGTTTCTTGAGTTCCAGACGTGATTCTAAACACACAGGTGGTCTATCAATGAATAATAAATAAGCATTATTCGGTCAAACTTGAAATTAATATACAATTAATTATTTGCACTTGATTTATGCAATCTGTGACCCTAAATTTTTAAATTTATCTCTTAACAGGATTAAATTATTTACAACACATATTTAAACTGAAACAGCAACTTCTCTCCTGAAAATTTCAGCTAGAACAAAAAAGTGCGATGAAATGTTTTTAATTTTAAGGCTTACAATATTAATTTCTATTTTTAAAAAGAACTTTTAGGACAGTTTGGTAAGTATACCTAAGAACAAGCTAGATTTGGTTTAGAGTTCGCCCATGTTGGATTGAGGTTGACTCTCTCTCTCATTCTCAACCCACTTCTTCTTCTTCTCCTCTCTCTCTCTCTCTCCTCTTTCTCTCTCTTCACTTTAACTTTGTTAGCTTATTCAATACACTTTTTGCTTCCAGCTATAAATGCCACACCTGTTTATTACATTTTTGCTTTGCCTTTACTGTTTCTCTCTCTCTTTCTCTCTACTTGGTTTCCTCCATTACAAACCAAGCTTCCTTTCCAGCTAGTTAAGGTCCCGCTCTCATCCTTAAGCACAGTACCCACCAACCGTTTTCCCCACCATTGCTTTTTCTTCTTCAAAATCAACCCATTTTCACTCTCTCTCTGCATTTTTTTTCCTCTTAAAAATAGGATTTTTGTCTAGCATTACCATAAATTTTTCTTTTTTCTTTGTTATCTTATTATTCTTATATTGTGTTCTCTGTGACCCACTTGAGGTCACAATCCCTTATAGTTAACTACATATCTGCAAGTTTGCAACTTCATCCTTTTGCAGCATCTGGGTGTTGCAGGGCTTGTGCTTTTGTTCTGTTATTGCTGGACCTATCTATGCTCACTGAGTGTTTGGGGGTTCAGAAGGAAGACTCTTTGTTGCTTCTTTGGGTGCTTGAGGTAGAAGATCAAGGTGGTTGATTTGGATCAACACAAAGGTAAATGAATGCTTTGTGTCTTTTTGAACCACTTTTTGGACAATTCACATTTGGGTTTGCCTTTTGTTTGCTTGGATCATAAGTGATGCTTTACAAGTTTACCTTTTGTTGTTGGTTTTTTTTTCTATTTTGCTTTCAATTATAATTTCTTGTGATAGTGAATATGCCCTTGCTTATCCGGTGAATTGTAAATTTAATGTGCCTTTTTTTTTTATTGAAGTGACATGGAGGGAAATGGGTTTTTGATTTGTTAAAAATTTGAAGTTTGCATTGCTTTTTTGGTTTGGAATTTCCTTAATTTCCGCAATCTGGCTCAATGTTACCTGCAGAATATCTTAGATTTTGGTAAAGCTGCAGTGATTAGTTGAGTTGCTGGTTTTGATTATTTTTTGTTTGTGCGGATTCAATGCAAGAACTAAGAACCTTGGCTGTAAATTAGAATGTTCAGATGTGTTGCGTGTCAAAAGCTTGTGTAAAGGGAGTACTTAACTATATTCTTTTGTACTCAGGTGGGAATGTCTTAATCGTGCTATCAAAAGAATTTGGAGGGCTAATTCAATCTTGTAGAATCCAATTATGTCAAAAAACAGTTCTCTGAATGTGGAATTATCGAAGAAGACGTCGTTTCTGGGATTGAGATTATGGGTTTTGATTGGGATAGGCGTTGGTGCTTTTATAGTTCTGATTCTTTGTATATTGTCTATATGGGTGATGTTTCGGAGAAAGTCTAGGAGTTCTCTGGACAAGTACTCTTTATCCCAAATACCACATGTGTCAAAGGATATAAAAGTTGACAAGGTTGGGGTGCAGACTCCTCAAGATCAAGCAGAAAGTGTATCTATTCCTGTTCATGACAAGGCAAGTGAGAACAATTCAGATAAGTTGTTAGTTCATTTGCGCATGAGCAAATCCAGTGATGCCGATAATATCAGCCAGTGCAGCTCAATGTATCATCATGAGAGAGGATTTAGTTCAATGTCAGGGGAAGAAGGAAGCTCTGGTACTGTAAAGAAACAGTCTACATTGGCATTTGGAGGGATGGTAACTGCCTCTCCTCTAATTGGTTTGCCAGAAATTTCTCATCTTGGATGGGGCCACTGGTTCACACTTAGAGATCTGGAACTTGCAACTAATCGCTTCTCTGCAGAGAATGTGATTGGTGAGGGTGGATATGGGGTTGTTTACTGTGGAAGATTGATCAATGGATCCGAGGTGGCAGTGAAGAAACTTCTTAATAACTTGTAAGAACACTTGATGGTATCACTTGTACCATCTTTAATTTCATCCTGTGGTGCTTATTTTATTGCCACTATTTCTTGCATGAAAAATGACCTTTGAACTTACACCATAATTGCATAATGCATTGAATTCATAGTGGACAAGCAGAGAAAGAATTCAGGGTTGAAGTAGAGGCTATTGGTCATGTTCGACACAAAAATCTTGTGCGCTTACTTGGATATTGCATAGAAGGAGTTCACAGGTACACCTTCATTCTTAATGTATCAAAATATTGCACATGCACATTACCCTACAATGCCCAATGACATTATAACCTTTATTTCTGTGATAGTCTTTTTGTCAAAATTTGAACAGATGTTCTTTTCTTTGTTCTGTAGTTTTTTTCCTTTCATTATGAATGCAGTTGTCATCTGATTTGCAGGTTGCTTGTGTATGAATATGTGAACAATGGTAACTTAGAACAATGGTTACATGGGGCTATGAGCCAACAAGAGACACTTACCTGGGAAGCTCGGATGAAAGTTATACTTGGCACAGCCAAAGCGTAAGTTCTGCTTAAAAAATTGTAATGGGTGGACCATATTATTCATTTTTGTTGACTTGTACAAAATTGGTTTGAATGAATCATGATTGTCTTAATTCTTTACAAAAGTGCATATCAAACTATAATTTCATGAATTTTTTCATATTCCCTAAATATTTGTACAAGTAGTTTTTTGTGTGTATCAAACTGTGTTATCAATGTCATTTGAGAGTTTATGTTGATATTGATATGTTATAGAGTATAGACCTAACCCCACTGATTAAACTCCCTATTTACTATCGCTGGTGTCAGGCTTGCTTACCTACATGAAGCAATAGAACCAAAAGTGGTTCACCGGGATATAAAGTCTAGCAACATATTGATTGATAATGAATTCAATGCAAAGGTTTCCGACTTTGGCTTGGCCAAACTTTTGGATTCAGGAGAAAGTCACATTACTACTAGGGTAATGGGAACATTTGGGTATGTAGAATGTTTCATTATCTACTTTTTAGATTTATTTAAAGGATTTTGCATAAATTGAAACTTACTCCAGTTTTCAATTTCAGTTATGTGGCACCAGAATATGCTAATACAGGTTTGTTAAACGAGAGGAGTGACATTTACAGCTTTGGTGTTCTCCTGCTAGAAGCGGTTACAGGAAGGGATCCTGTAGACTATTCACGTCCTGCTAATGAGGTTTGAAATACTTAATTAGTACTTCCAGTTTACATACTGTTTCTAACTTTGTCTTCTATGAGAAGTGATCATTGCTTTTTGTATAGCTGATGAGATTGTGAATATCCTCATGACAGGTGAATCTTGTTGAATGGCTCAAGATGATGGTGGGGACAAGGAGGGCTGAGGAAGTTGTGGACTCGAGGCTTGAAGTGAAACCATCAACACGTGCTTTAAAGCGTGCTCTTCTGGTTTCACTCAGGTGTGTTGACCCTGATGCAGAAAAGAGGCCCAAAATGAGTCAGGTTGTGAGGATGCTTGAAGCTGATGAATATGCATTCCGAGAGGTTCCCTTTATTATCTTATCCTCTCATATATAACTTCTACCATTGGACTCTGAAACTTATCACAGTTTGCAACTTTTGGTTATGTTTTCTCCTTGTTGACTTGGTTATGTTTTCTCCTTGTTGACTGACATAGTATCAACTAGAATGATTGGAACCTTGGATTTCAACTCAGGAAAAACATTTTCTGTTTTGTTGCTTAGTTTTATTTAGCCTACACATTTAGCTTCTACTCAAACTAGGAAGTATGCTGATTGGGAATATTTGCTTTCTCCATACCTTTTTGGTGCATAATGTTCTAGTGGGTAATATGATGAGCTGTTGGTGTCTGTCTTTAGTGTGGAGTGTTGAGGGTGACTACTACATCTTTTCTTTATCTGCAGTTAGTAATTGCTCAAACACAAGGTTAATGGTGGTATCACAAATCACAATCATGGAATAGCCATATTTTTATTTCTGGTTTGTGTTAAGCTTCTGTTGGTGTTGAATGATTGTTGGACTAGAATAACTAACAATGAATCACGTGTTCACTAAATTATTCATTTAATTCATCCTTTTAAGTACACACGACCTTTCCATGATTAATTATTATGTACTAAATATTGAATGTCATGGATTTATGGTCCTCTCTACTTTTTGTCTATTTGTGTTTCTTTTTTTCAAGCTGGACATCTGATTGATATCACTTTCAGGATCGAAGGAATAGAAAGAGTCGCACTGCTAGCATGGAAATTGAATCTCTGAAGGATGTTTCTGGTCCATCTGATGCTGAAAAAGTGAAGGGTGCTGAAGGCAATGCTCCAGAAACAACTCAAGGGTAGGATTGACAACCACACATGACTTAACCTGCATGCACAATTTGGTTTTGTCCTGATTTCAGTAACCAAATACCATATATGTTCAAGTTTGCCTTGAGATTGTTTTTTCGCTGCATCTGAAGATAGAATCAAATCTGAGAAGAGGATCAAGTCAGAGATAGCTCAATTGGATAATGAAGGATTTTCTTGTTCAAGGATATGGTACACCAAATTTGCAAGGAGGATGGAGTCGGCGCAAGTGCATTATTTAATGTTGTACAGATGTTTGCTGAGCCAATTCCTTCCTTACATGAGTGCTAATTTGTAGCCATTTTTGTCTGCTTTGAGAGAGGAGAGGATGAAAACTGGTATTTGGTGAGTAACTGATATTTGGCTTCATTGTCCTTGCCATTTTGCTTTTAAGTTAATCATTATGTACACCTTCCAGAAAGTATTATGTGAAGTGATAAAGTCCCTTTCTTTTGTAGTTCTGATTTGATTGTATTATTTTCTCCACAACTGGATTCTATATCTCTATTATCTGTGCCTATCCCATATCAAATTGTTTGACATATAGACGAATATATGCTGTGGTTCAATTTGCAACTTGCCCAGATGATAAAAAGGGAAATGGATAAAATAAACAAAATTATCTTTTCTGACATTATCAATTTCCCATTTCAAGTTACCTACACCAATGGTAGACCAAGATGTGAAAGTGGCCGGTTGCTCTAATGGATGGTGAAATTATTGATTAATTATAAATTCATTTTTTTTTCCTTTTTCTAAGGGTTGGTAATAGCTCAGCTAAATTATAAGCACTTTGAGGATGTTTAAGTTGTGATGGTGAAAAAAGAAAAAAGAAAAAGGAATTCTTGAAAAACATTTGCCTTGTGAAGTAACGAAAGGCTGCAAACTTCATGCAAAATCTCATTTTTCGGTAGAATTTTTACTTTTCTTTCCCCACAAATCATATTAAATGTTCTGTCTCCTAAATATTTCATTAACAAATTTTTTTATAGGTATTTTCTAAATTTTATACTCTGGTGTTTATTAAGAATTTCTATGAAAAGAGTCTTTTTTTCAAATAAACTCTCATTCCATAAGAGCAGGCTTTTATACAAATCATCATAAGGAGTCTTATATTTATTAGAAAATGTATATTACATGTTGTTTCTCCCAACTCTCATTCTACAGTGTAGTTATGACTTTTTATGGATCTTATAAGATAATGAACATAAATGTTATAAATTTATAAATATAAATAATGTTTATTTTTTCTGTTAATTTTAATTTTATGTTTAAAAAATGGTCACGTATCTTTTCCAATACATATTTACCTAAGCATCAACATGAAGGGTTTGTACAAGTTACTTTGTAAGGTAAATAATTCATTTTAAGAAAATTAAAGAAAATATGGTGAGTGTAGCTTTTGTCTTCTCTATCTTGAAACTTCATTGGACATGGGATTTAATGTGACAGGTGGAGTGACACTCAGTTGGCAACAAATATGTCTAACTCATGTTTGTGTAACAATTAGAATTAGATTTTGTTTATTCCATGCAGTAAGAGATTGTAACCTTTTGCTCACTTAAGTGTTACATCTTCATGCCTTTTTTAAGAATCTTTTAAATTTTTTTGGTTAGGCTTTAATGTAAGACCTTTACAAAGTTTTTGAACTAGTTATCATTTTTTTACATATTTTCCTTTTTTACAAATATAATAACATAATTTGAGTTAAGATGACTTTAACTGCAGCAAATTTAAAATGTTGTGATTAGTTTTTAAAAAATTATTACATTAACTACTAATAACTTTTCTAAGCATGTGTAGTTTAGATTAAAAGGTTAATATGAAAAAGACCATAGTATTAAGTTTTGTTATGATAATTGACTATATAATTGGATAGGGTATAAACATTTCAAAGCATGAGATTATAAAGTTTAATTTCGATGAATTAAACAATCATTTACAATACATGAAAGATATATAGTCTGTTTGGTTCGGTTGGGGTACCTAAAAACTCCATTCAAGCACCTTTTAACAGAGTTTTCTTTTTTAAGGAACAATTTTTCAATTTTGATGAACGGAGGTTAGGACTGAAACTCAAATAAGCTCATAATTTTTAAATTAAATACTATGCACGTAAGGATTGAAGTGATGCCTCAACAAAAATGCTGACTTGCAAATTAGAATGATGTAACATTTAATCTCATCTCTCATTTGTAACATATTACAAGTGTAGTTCCTAAATTTTCTTTTTATTTATTTGCCTTTGATTTTAACTTTACTTTTTTTGAGTTTTCTTAATTTTTTTGAGTTTTTTTATTTTAAGATTTTTTTTTAAAAAATAATGACTAATTTACCCTTTTTTCCTTTTTCAATTTCTTTTCATTCTTGTTCTTCTAATAGAAATAAAAAAATATAAAAATAATAATAATGTCATTTATATATTAAATTATTTTTATTTTGCTCTTTCAATATTAATCATTCAAACAATTCTTTTTTCTGTTATCTCTTATCTTAATTTCTTGGACTCTTTCAACTTTTTCTTTCTTTCTTTTTGTAAATTTTCAAACAAAACTTAAAGAGTATGATCTATTCCTTCTTATGTACCACAGTTTTTTATGAGTATTCCTTTCCCTTTATTTATATATTTTAATATGGTGTGCTGGATTAGTAGGACTCACTGAACGTGGAAGTCTGAAAGTTTCCCCTGGCAAAATTGCTATATTTCTTCAAGGTTTTCGATTTCATGTGAATTTGCCTGATGGTCCATCTCATGTTTATGTTGCTGAAATTTTTGGTACTCATTTTCAACTTTCATAGCTGTTGCTTCAACATTCACTATATATATAATTAAGATAAGTTTTGTTTAGAGAAAGAGAGAGACTGAATGAGATATAAAACATTCTAGTTTTAATGTTTAGCTATCACTAAGAGCAAAAATTAACGTGTTTTTTAAACATATGTTAATGATAGCTCCTAAATTTACAGCTCTAATTATTTTGTCAAAAGCAAACTTGTAATATATAAAACTTTAATTTTCTCTGCTTATCGATCCCTTCTTAATTAAATGCTCGTCGTTTATTTTGAGAAAAATGGTGTTTGTGCATTTATTTTCTCAAATAGGAATACTAATAATACGAAATTGTTGCATAACCTGGCTTAGTTTCCATTTGTTTTTAATTTTTATTTATTTCTAAGATTATTAATTAACCAATCAAATAAATCTATCTTTGATTCATAACATTTTTTTACTATACAGTTTTTATACTATATAGAACTACTGTTATCAAATATCTCATATAATAACGTAAGGTTTTTACAGGTTATTAAAAATTGTTACAGTAAAACATATATTATTCTATAACTTGTTCAAGAGTTTATGAAGATTCTAGTTAAAAAGATAAGTTAGTTCAGTATAGTTACTTTCATTAAAGGAGGGGTGCTTGGTTTACCTTAACTTAACATTTAGTATTTCTATATTATTTCATCCTTTATATTTTATTTTTATTTCTAAAAATTTGTAACTAAATAATAATGCTTATAAAATATTCTATATGCACTCTTTTTATTTTTTTGTTATGTTTCCCTCATTTATTTTTTTTATTTTCTGTGGTTTGCAAAGAAAACAAGAAAGAAGAGTTTGAAAAAAAAAAAAAAAAACTAAACCAGGAAAATGGCTTTTTCAATTATCCTATATCTTTATCTTCTACGATAATTAAAGGTAGGTTATGTAAAATCAATAAATTTTTGCTTTCCAACAAATCGATTTGCATGATATACAAACATTATTTGTATGTTTGTTTCAGATATGCATATATTTCAATAGATTTCTCTTTAAATGAGAGCGATATTTATTAATAATTCTATCTCTATCTTTAGCACTAAATATAAATTTTAATGTGATGATTGAAATTTAATATATTATTATATTATAATTTTTATATAAAATTATTTAATATATTATTATAAATTTTATATTCTAAATAAATTATTCTAATAAGTCTAATAATTTTTTTTAAACTTAAATCTAACTTATTTAATTAATTAAATTTTAAAAAAAATATAAATTAAGCCTATTAATTAAATAGGTTAAATTTAATTAAATTTTAAAAAATTAGGCAATAAGCTCTTATTGAACCACTTAACTTATTTCCATTTCTGTGCATGATTATATCTTTCTATTGTCTGCATGCATGCCTTGACAAACTCTCCTGTGGGCCATTTTATTTGATTCAATATGCATGTAATATTGTACCATTTTTTTTTTACTTTTTACACACGTGTTTTTGTAATAAAAATATAAATATATTAAATTTTTATAAAAAATTATTAAATTTATATTAATAATATTAAATATTGTAATTTTTAATATGAATTTATTATATATAAATTTTCATATGCACATTAATTTATTTTTTTTCAATTATTGCGCCACTACTGGACACTAAATTTCCATAGCCTTCACATCAAAGGTACAAAAACTGTCCTCGCCACTTAATATTTCATGTGTATATTTCATTTCATTGAGAGAGTAATCTCGTTTATAATATAATATGGAGTTTATAATCGTATTTTGTTATTGTAAAAGATATTGAAATAGATTGCAGTTACTATATATAAGAAAATATCAGTTACGTTAATCGCTAATAACAATACCATATCTTCTTTACTTTAAGCCATGAGTACTAACACTAGTGATGTTCAAGTTGTATATGGGTCACCCCAAATTGTCTAAAAATGCACAAAATTGAGATTGCAATCCAAAAATTCCAAATTCTAATAAGATCAATAATCAAAACAAAAGCTTTCGATTTATTAACTTCAACTTGCACCTGCCCTTATAAAGAAAAGTCAAACTAAATAATCATATTAGTATGACTCCAATGGGATTAATAAACCAAAACTAAAGAACTGGTGTCATTGCTCTCAACCATCAAGGGTATTGGATTTGCAAATCTTGTTGAAAGTAACCATGAAAGAAACATAAAGTTGATCAGTCACATGGTCAAGAAACCAGTAGTATGTGTGCCTCCACTTCCTATTGAGGAACAAAGAACCACAAATTCCCAAGAAGCCAACAGCAAACCCAACTCCCATGCCAAGATAAAGTGACTCCATGTCAAGTTCACCATCTTCATTTCCAGCATGTTGCTTTGTATCGTCAGGATTTTCCTTTTCTGTGATAGATTTTGTAAGAGGAGCTCCCCAAAGTTCTGGATTTCCACTATAGCTCGATGCATCAAAACTTTGAAGTTGAGTCCCTATTGGAATTTGTCCAATAAATTTGTTGCATGATAGGTTCAAATAAGCTAAAAAAGACAAACCAGCCATGCTTTGAGGAATTTGTCCAAAGAGCTTATTATTGGAGAGATCAAGAGATTCTAGATTTTTCATATCACCAATTGCTGTATTTATTGTTCCAGTCAAATGATTATGAGATATGTTCAATGTTTGAACTTGAATAAGCCCAAATAGTCCCTTGGGAATTTCTCCCCACAAGTTATTGACTGAAAGATCAATAGTTCGCCTGTTTGGAATGACTAGATACTCATAATCTTGCCCTTTTATAAACAAGTCAATAGAGACAGGAAAATAAAAGCCAATATTATTAGTAATCATTTGAGTCATGTTATAGACACACTGATTCATGGATCCTGAAAGTTTATTATGGGCTAGATCCAAGTGAAATAGAGAAGAGAGATTGAATAACTGTGCAGGAATGTTGCCCTCAAATTGATTAGATCTCAATATAATCACTTGCAAGTTTTGTGGCATCTTCATTGGTATAGTTCCAGAAAATTCATTTCTTCCTAGATCCAAAAATAGCAAATTTGTCAACTTTGAGAAGTCCATTGAAACTTCACCTGATAACTTATTTCTCCACAAGTTAATATATGACACATTATTCAAATTCTCCCAACTTCGAGGAATTGGTCCTGAAAAGGAGTTGTTAGATAAATCCAAAAATAGGACCTCTGGTGATATATGTGGAAGCCCTCCAATGAAATTATTACGGTCGAATCGTATAAAGGAGGAGTTCAATGTTACATTCAACAAGTTTTCACTTAATGAATTGTTGGATATATCGAGCATCTTAAAATTTCCTGCTACGAAACTCCTAAACATATCTCCATCTACAGATGAAATTCCTGAGCTAGATATGAGTAAGTTTCGGAGTGACTTTTGAGTATATATCCATGATGGAAAGTAGGGACCTTGATTTGTATATTCCAAAGAAAGTGTACTGAGCTGAAAAGGAGGAATCCATTCATGATGGAAATTGAATGCCAAAGTTAAACTGCTCAAGTCCAAATAGTTTAAATTAGATAGATTGGAAAAATGTGTTTCAGATATTGCACCAGAGAAGAAATTTGAACCAATACTCAACAAAATTAAGGATGAGAGATTTCCGAGAGTTGAAGGAATGGAACCACAAAACATGTTGTGGGAAAGATCAAGGTGTTTCAAATGCTCTTGGTGGCCTATCCAATTTGCAATTGAACCTTTGAGCTGGTTATAAGATAGATCAAGATATCGCAGATGTTCTTGTTGGCCTAGCCAATTTGGAATTGATCCGTTGAGTTGGTTATGACATAGATCAAGGTATCTTAAATTCCAAAGGCTTAACAAGCTCAAAGGTATTTCACCATGTAAACTATTCCGCTGAAGTTCAAGATGAGAGATTTTGCTAAGATTGAACAACCAATATGGTAATTTAGAGTTGAAATTATTGTAAGAAAGGTCAAGAGTTACTAGTGAAGAAAAATTGACATACAAACGAGATGGGTCGATGTTATTCAAGTTACAAACACTCAAGCGTAACTCTGATAACGAAGGAAGCATAGCCACCAATTGAAGCCAATTAACTTCTTTGTGAAGATCAATTCCTGAGAGGTTGAGGTGTTTCAAGAAAGGAAAATAAGAAAGCCACCAAAGATTATCCATGTCAAGGTCACCAGTCCAAGATAAGTCAAGGTAATAAAGGTTGGATGCAAGTGTGATGCTATGATGAAAAGGTGGCAAACTTATAACATCAAATTTATTTGAGCTCAAGTCCAAGTAAACTAGAAATTCAAGTTCTAGTAAAGATAAGTTGATTTCACCTTCCAAGGTCGCTAATGAATCTTCTGATTGTTTGAGGTCAACCTGTGTAACTCTGTTGGTGATGTTGTCACATTGGATTCCTTTCCATGCACAACAATCTTCTTCATTTGACCATGTTGAAAGCTGGTCGAAACGATCTATAATGCCTTGTTTGAAGATTAACAACGTCTCCTGATCCTTCTCATTGCAGCGAACCACCTTGTGATTACTAGACATACTTTTGGGGAATGTTATTGTACATAGAACTAAAAGAAGCAAAATAGTTGAAATATGTGAAGTAAACATCACCATGGTTGAATCCTATGAGAATGTATGAATGATGTCTTATACCATAAGCAAGATGGGAGTGTAATTATATAGTTAGGCTGATCGCTTATGAACGTAATAGATAGGATGAGTTTGAACAAGAATAGTTTAAAAATTCGTGAACCTCATGTTTTGAAATATGTTTTTTTTTACAAGGAACTATTGATACGATTGTTTGTTGCCAAATTGTCAAAAATTGTCGGTAAAAATTTTCTATTCTTGTGAAAATATTTATGATAAATTTGATAGAAAATCATTTCTTTATTCTTTTTTTTTTCTATTCAGTGTTACATTTAAATAGTATCCTATGAGATTAAAGATAATTGATTGTCCAAAATTAGAAATAACATATATTTTTTATTGGATCACAATTGTAGTTTTATTTAAATGTTGAGAAATCACACAAGTTTTAATTCGTCTAAATTACATTGATGTTATCAAACACCACAGATACGTGATCAACTGATAAAAAATTATTTCAATTAGCTATCATACCACCACGTACAATTGAGTAAATTTTCATTAACTGTTTTTTTCACATGCTTTTCAAGCATTTGTTTCTACTTTTTATGATATGTTTTGGTTACTTTCAGAGAATGACTACAAAATGTGAAATAACTTAGAAGTGTGAGAATCTTGAACATAATCATGCTTGTTTGTTAGTTAGGATTTGCTTGTTTGCAAGTGTGAAACTTAGAACAAAAGTTACATGCCGCTATGAGCTAACATTGGACACATACATGGAACCGGCGTGAAAATTAAACTTCCAAAGACACTTTCAGAAAAAGAGATCGATGATGTCTCATTTTAAGGTAGAAAAAGTCTCCAAATTAAAAGGACACTTACAGATTATTTCGTCAAAAACCTGTGACCCATCATATGCAAAACTCTCTGTTTCTCTACTTGGTCAACCACTTAAGATACTCCCCATAAATTTTGGACAAAAATGATATTTTGCACGTTTATTTTATCAAATATCTTACTTAATAATGCAATATTTGTACATGTTATTAAAAAAATGTTACAGTAAAATAATATATTATTCCATAACTTGTTCGAGAGTTTATAAATATATTTTACAAAGATAGTTTAAGTAAGTAAAATTACTTTTCTTAAAGGAGGAGTAGTTGATTGTCATATTATTTAACCATGTGTTGTCATATTAATGAAAATTATTAATTTTTTATAATAATTAATATAAAATTACAGTTGCGTATATTTTTATAACATTTTTATAATAAAATTTAACATTTTTTATATTATTCACTATAAGATTCCCATCTTTTCACTTCTATTAAATAGTTGTATTTTTTATATTTCACAACTAAAGATTTCTACAACATCACTCCACCAAGCAAAGATCACTAACTCCTTCCAAGTTGATTCTATCTCTTCCTCTGCAGTAAAATGATATAATTTTTCCTCTGAAGTAGAATACGTTTAAGAGTAACTTAAAATGCACAATATAAAAGAGCATCTTTCAGCTTGGGTTTCAACCATTTTTCTACCTTGGGAAAAGGAATCCATGTTCAAGAAGTCCACAAAGAAAATCTATTTTTGGGCAATTTACATTCGCACTTAGAATAAAATCTAATGAGGAGCATGGCAAGAACGATTCTTTTAACGCAAAGCTCACGATAACAGTAATAATGAAAGAAACGAGTTCTACGTAACAGCAAAGTTGAATGGGTGTGAGTTTTCTGTTCACCCAATCCCACATTTGCAAATAAAAAGCCTTTCCACCGATCACAGGCTATCTCTCTCTTATTTTTTTATCAATTGATATAACATAGAAGTTTTTCGTTATATATGAGGTAAAAAAAACTTATTTTAATTATATTTAATATTACTTCAAATAATAAGAATATAAATTTTTTCTCCTAATAATAAAAATAAAAGAATTAAAATTTTTGAAATATTATATATTGGTTGATTCTAATTTTGTTTCAGTTTAATTTTTTATCATTAGATTTAAAGCTAAAGTATTTTACTATTTGATATTAGATAATATTAACTCGTCAAATATTCTTAAAAGAAAGATTAAATGTAAAATACTATCATTTAAAAATAAATTTTTTAAAATAATATTATTTAAAATATTTTCATTATTTATAGTTATTATTTATAAAATATGAAATTTTATTCTTTAATTATTAAATTATATTTATATTTATATTTATTCTAAAATAAAATATCAATACATTCCATAAGCTATTAAACTAATATTTTTTAAAAGATAGGAGTTTTAATTTATCATCACATCTTTAAATAAATAAATTTTTTTAATTAGACAAATATAGTCTACTAAGTATAAATTTTATTTTCTTTAAATATTTTAATATTTAGAGAATTAACATTAAATTAAGAAAACTTTCGAGTCCTTCTATTTTAATTTAAAAAAAAATTAAACTAAAATTTCAGTTTCCACAATATGGATTTTGCATGATATATATACAAACACTATTCATTGGTTTGTATCGGGCATGGATGTGATTGCATGATTATCTCTCTCCTTTGTCTCTATGCATAACTTGACAAACTTGGCTTATTTGATGATTTTATTTGGTTGAGATATGCATGATATTGCAGAATCTTTGAATTATTATACCATTCCACTGCACATTTAACGTCATAGCTAGGGTGAAAATAGGAAAGTAGATTTTTAAATAAAATTAGAAGCTTAGTGAAACTTTTCAAAAAAAGTCAAGAGAAAAGAAATCTTAAAAAAATATATACTCTAAATTTAACAATAAAATCATGCTTATTTTACAAAATCTACTACTTCTAGGCCTCATTTTCACGTTGTTTCGTACACTTCACAAAGCGACTTGCACAACCTTTTCATGTTGTCACATTTAATAGAGCCACGTCGCAGAACACGTTGTCACATTCATTAACGTTATTTGTTATCTCATTGACCACGCTTCATTATGAGCAATTGTTTTTGTTTTATGTAATGCTTTTTCTCTTTATTATGTTTATGTACGGTGTCTTGTGTTTTATTATTTTGATAATTATGTATATTAATTTTAAATAAATTGAACGCTCATAAATATATAATTCACTTTAACCTGTAGTATTGAGTTTAAGTTTGAATAAATACAGTTATATTAAATATTATAAAAAATTATGGTTTTGTATTATGTTTTATAAGTAAGATTCAATAGCTTATATTTAATATTCTGATTCTCATAATAATCAGTATTCTCACCTAAGTAACTCCATAAATGTATATGTATAATTACATTTAAATATTTTATGATTATCAATCAAATTATTTTTAAAATTGAATCAGTGCATTGACCACTTGATGAGTTGATTGTTTGCTTGGTTGTTTAAATATAAAACAAATCTACGCGGTCTGCGGCTTTGCTGACTTCAAAAGCCATAAATGTTTGCAAAAGTCTTTGGATTCATATGTATACAAAGTTCTAGCCTTTGTTTGATAGATGATCTTTAATATAAGTTGTAAACAAAAGTTTAATTTGGTTCGTAGAGGAGTTATCAATGAACATGTTGTGTCAATGATTCAGAGAGGATGTGGAGCATTTACTCATGAATTGCAAAGTGATAAACAACCATTTATTAGTGTATCAGGTGCATACTTGTCTTCCCCAATTATTTTGCTGATTTTTAACAACAAAATAGGGACATTTTTTCAGGAAAAATTAGGATTAGTTATGATTGTGTGACATGCATCAATTTGGGGTGGCCTTTAATGCAGCTATCTTCAACAACGGTGACCTTGACGTAGTTGGAGTACTGTAATTGTTAAAAGTCACATCATGAACATCTTTCCCTTTAGTACTAACATTTTCTCATGTTTTTTTACTAATGTTTAAGTCGGTTTTCTGTATTCATATATGTTCTAAGTTGATAAAAATGAGTTGAACTACTCCTATTCAGTTCATTAATAATAATTATTTGACTTGTAAAAAAAAATATAAAGGTTATATGCCAAAGAAAATTATGCTATTTGACAAAATCAAAATCATCCAATTAACATGTTTTTATTATTTTTTTCAACAAAATAACATCGCTTGAATCAAATCACAATCTCTTTCAGGAAAGAGTAAATTTAGGCTAAATTATACTTTTTAGGTTCATTTAGTATAGATAACGTGCGATTTTAATCTCTTAAAAAATTTAAATTTATTAAGTTTCTCTATTTTTAAAATTATGTATAACTGTATTGTCCCATCAATTTCTTCTATTTCAATTACTCAAATTTTTATTTAAATTTTTTGAAGGCTTCTCCTGGAATTGAATAAAAAATAAAGAGAGAAATAGCATTCATTACCTTAAATTACTAAATTGAAATACGTATTCCATGCATTTTAAACAAGGATTAAGGCAATGACTTCAAATTCTAATTCCTTTTAATCAGGAATTCGGGTATAGTCCAGATTAGAAGAAATTAAATTCATAGGTTTCATTGGGCTTTAGATCGTAGCAATGTTTATCACAAATGAAAGGAGGTCATAGTAAATGTTAAACAGGGATAAAAAATTGTAGTTGAGAATCCCTTTTATCACAAAGCTGAACGTTTTCCTTTTCATTAGCTTTTACCTTCAAATTTGTAGAGCAATAGCAATGTACCAAGCTAGACTCAATACTTCAAAAAGAGCTTAGACAGTAAGTGAGCAAGAATCTGTGATCCAGAAGTAGGCAAAATACATTCTCCAAGGTTTCTGCAAAGTAAACAAAATGGCATTGCGCAGTGACATTCAAACATAAAATGGGTATAAAAATGTACAAATATGTGACATTAAATTGGTACTAGCCATCTTCACCAGTGAATCTCTCACATGATTGGTTAGGGAACATGCCATGAGTGACATAAGCACTCACTTTTGCAGCACCAATGGCTGCTAGAACTTTCTAGTGGTAACGAATATAAAAAGAGAGAA